CTGACGTAAACTATGGACTTTGGATGATAGCAATGTGCCGTCCGGGCTCCAGGGCAGGCTGTTGATAATGCAGGAGACTATCCATGTGTAGGGCAAAGGGTATGTGGGAAGTCTCTGTACCTTCCCCGCAGTATCACTGCGAAAATTTAAATTGCTCTTTTAAAATAAGTCTTAATAAAGAACAAAAATAAAAACGAACAGTATGAAATTATGAACTGACAATTATCTGTGGCTAGAGTTGCTCTGCCCACTGAGGTAGCCACTAGCCACCACCACATGTGGCTATTTGGCACTTGAAACATGCTGCAGATGTACAATCAAGATTTACTATGCCAAAAAAGGGGGAATGTCTCATTAGTTGTTCTTATTTGATTACATGTAGAAATGATAATATTTTTACAGATAGGGTTAAATAAAATACAGTATTAAAATTTTTTTAAAGACATGCTTTTCTTAAAAAAAAAAAAAAGATTTGGGGTGCCTGGGTGGCTCAGTCATTAAGCGTCTGCCTTCGGCTAGGTCATGATTCCAGGGTCCTGGGATCGAGCCCCACATCAGGCTCCCTGCTCAGCGGGAAGCCTGCTTCTCCCTCTCCCACTCCCCCTGCTTGAGGTTCCCTCCCTCGCTGTGTCTCTCTCTGTCAAATAAATAAATAAAATCTTAAAAAAAAAGATTTTATTTATTTATCAGAGAGCACGAGCAGGGCAGGGTGTGGCAGAGGGAGAGGGAAAAGGGCTCCAAGGTGAGCAGGGATCCCAATTCGGAACTCGATCCCAGGACCCGGGGATCATGACCTGAGCTGAAGGCAGACGCTTAACCAACTGAGCCACCCAGGCGCCCCAAGACATGCTTAATACAGCCCCCAATCAGTACACGTGGAATGAAGGGCTCAGAGCTGAGCTAGGAATCCAGCCCTGCTTACTTGGGCAGACAACTTAACCTCTCCGAGCTTTAGTTGATTGCGTTTTCCCTGTAAAATGGGGATGAATATTAATCCTACAGGGTTGTTATCATCTCGGGCCACTCTCTTTGGAGGAGCCCAGTCCGTCCCCAGTGTCTTCCTGTCACACCAGGATTTATAGCCACGATCCTAATCTCGAAGTATCTTGCTTCATATTTGCTGCTTGTCTTGTCTGCTCTACCCTGGGACCATCTGTCTCCTTCATTGCTCTCCCCTGGCACCCAGCCCAGTGCCTGGCATACAGTAGGCATTTGCTAACTGTTTGCTGAACGAACAAGATAACAAATGGCCCCCAACAGATGTTCAGTGAGGATCGGTGACACCACTGTCATCTTTCATGGCTGGGACACATCTGCTTACTCACTGCCATCACCCCGGGGCCTAGCAAAAAGCTGGTATGGAAGAGGCGCCCAGAAAACCTGTGTGGAAGGGGTGAATGGAGCTCAGCAGCTTCACAGAGGGTCTCGTAGAGGGCCCCATGGCCCCTCTCCTCAGAGCCCACCGCCCTTCCTCCCCATGCCACGCCTGCCTCAGCCCCAGCCTGGCAGGCCCTGCAGAAGGCCCCCTTCCTAGCTGGGGCAGTCCAGCTGGCCTGTCCCGCACACGTCCTGTGAGAGCAGGGGAAGCACCAGGACTGAGGCCAAGGCTGCATACAACCAGGGCCAGTGGCCCAAGTCCCTCTGGGTGGCCTGGCGCCCACCCAGACAATCAGTGCGGCTACCCCATGGAACACAGAGACCACTGGTCAGCCTGGGGAGGGAAGCCCCTCAAAGCCGGCTTTCCAGGAGGCAGCAAGGTCAACCACATCAGGAACACAATGAAAGGGGTCACACAGGGACAGTCTATAAATTAAGTCCCTGAAAGTCAGGCCAGAGGCTTGCAAGGCATCCTGGAAAAACCCCCTTTCCTCCCTTTCTCCAGTTGCCTGGTAACCACTGTGCATCTGGGCCAGAGCAGGAGGCAGCTAGGCACAACAGGAGTCCAGGCCCAGCAGACGGGTTGGTATGCTCCTCCTGACATGCACAACGAGGCGTGGGGGGAGGGCCCCTAGCTGCTGCTTTCCGAGGCCACCTGAGCAGGGACCCGGAGGCACCAGAGGTTCAGGAGAGCTGTAGGCAGCACAGGGAAGGGGAGATCTAATATGCAGCGGCAACTGCAGGGGACCCCCTCTTCAGCTGGTGGTGCTTCCCCAGGGCCCCTGTGCCTTTCTGATGACTCTCAGAGCCTCCCTGACCCTCGGTCTCCTCCTCTGTAAAGTGGGCCAACACTGAACACCTGGGACTGTTCTCCAGCAGAGAAATGAGAGTGAGCCCGCCCCCAGAGGAACTCACTCCAAAGGGAGGGTTCCCCATCACAGAGCCCATCCTCCCCCACCCCATTCTGCAGTGGACCATCTGTGTGCACTCACTAGCGGTTCCCTCCAGGAGCTGAGCTGGGCTCATGGAAGGAAGGCTTTTTACCCGCCCTTCCAACCTGCAGGCCCTGGGATGTGGTCAGTCCCTCAGCTTGGCTCAGCTTCAGGCTGGAGACCACCCCCCAACGGCCCCCATCGTCAGGGCTGGTGACCAGAGGCAGGAAAAGGCTTCTGTCCACCCCACCCCCACCCCCCAGCTGCGCTCATTTCACACATGCAGGAGAAGAGGGTCTCCTACTGCAAGCAGTCCACCCTTACCGCCTCCAGCAGCTGTAGGAACAGAAGAGGTCTCCCCTTTCCCAGCTCAGCCTTGGCCCTGAGCATCTGGCCCTCACACTCAGCAGCTCCGGTCCTCAGAACTCCAGGGTTTTCATTCAGGGTCTGAGCATCCCGTCCGCCTCCCTGACACCTGTGCGGGGCCCAAGGTGACGCAAATCCCTGTCTGCCCTGCGCCCAGGTGCCTCAGACACCCTCCTCCCCCTTAAGGCTGTGGGTGGGACAAACCGTGAGGGGCGGGGAGGGGAGGTGGACTCGCTCGCGGGGGACTTCAGCCAAGTCTGGGTCACGCCTCGTCTTGGCGGCTGCCCGCGGCAGGACAGGCAGGGGCAGGGGACCGGAGCGGAGAGGCTGGCCGGGCCCGCCACGCCGCGTCCCCACGCCCCCAGCCACGCGGAGCCGCGTCCCGCCCCCCTCCCCCGCCCGCAGCAAGCGGTCGAGGAACTGCAGTCGCGCGCGCGGGCCCCGGGGGACGGTCACAGCCACTGCCCGGGGACCGCTAGGCGCGGGGCCCCGGGGCGGCTCAGCCGCCGGAGCGGGGCGGGGCAGGGCTCGTAGGCTCCGCCCCGGCCTAGGCCCCGCCCCGCTCCAAAGCCCCGCCCCCAAAGCCACAAGCTTCCGCCCAGGGGATCGGGGTCCGCCCCAGGGGCTCCTGTTGAGGCGGGGAGATGAGAAAGGGGTACGAGGGTGATTACTACCTGGGGTGATCTATAGCTAAGGATGCGGGCGATAAGAAGTTAAAGTTCAAAGCGATCGGCTGTGAGGTCTCGGCAGAGGCCCCTTCCCGCTACAACCGCCCACGCCCACCGTGGCGCCTTTGACCCGGTGAGCCACGTCGGCCCAGGGAAGGAAAAAAATGCCTTCTGGATGGGTTTTGCTTTTCTTCTTGCCGCCGTGGTACCCCAGGTAATACGGGCATTTCTTCCAAAACTGGAGCATTTCTTTGTTCTGGTGGTTGTTCATAACATTTTCCCCAGCTAATATTTGAGAAAATTCACATACCTTACACTGCACCCACTGGAAGTGTAAGGTTCCAGGGGCGCCTGGCTGGCTCAGTCGGTGGTGCCTGCGTGTGACTCTTGATCTCAGGGCTGCGGATTCAAGCTCCACGCCGGGTGGAGAAATCACTTAAAAACAAAGTCTTTAGGGGCACCTGGCTGGCTCAGTCAGTTGTGTCTGACTCTTGATTTCGGCTCAGGTCATGATCTCAGGGTCTTGGAATCAGCCCCACTTGGGGCCCTGGGTTCAGGGGGTCGTTGGCTTGAGGATTCTCTCTTTCCCTCTCCCTCTGCCCCTCTCCCCGCTGTGCGCACAAGCTCTGTCTCTCTCTCTCAAATAAATGTTTAAAAAAAGATAAAATAAAATCTTTAAAAAAAAAAAGTGTAAGTTTCATGGGTTTACTATATTCACAGAGTTACGAACCCCCCGTTCTCCCCTCCCAGCCCATGGCAATGACTGATTTTATTTTCTGCTTCTGTGGATTTGCCTGTTCTCAAAACCAGGGCATTTCTGCAGAACTGTAAGGCTCCCCATTGTGGGGAAGGAGAGAAAAGTGGGGTGAAGTCAGGGACCCACGGGAACAGGTGGCTTCGGGGCAGGGAGCAAGGCAGGGGCTCTAGGCCGCCTGAGGCCCGTCTGCGGGAAGCCGGTGCGCGCCCTAGGGTGCCGCAGGAGAGGGAATGCGGGGAGGAGAGAGGGTCCTTTGGGGGAGAAAGCAGGGGCGCTGACTGAGAGGACTGGATGGGGGAGGCAGTCAAGGGAGGGGTCCCCAGGCAGCCAGCCTTCAGATGGCCTGGGCACGCTGCATCTGTCCATCTGTGTGGTTCGGCCTCCAGTCACCAAGGGAGCCAAACTTTGTCTCACATCCCCGTAGTTGAGAAAGTCGGTGTTTCCTGCCAGCTCTTTGAAGTAGGTCCTCTTGTCCCCGGGTGCCTACCACTAACTCCCTCCAGGTGCACCTTGACATGGGAGAGAGGAGCTAGAAAGAGAAACTGGGAGAAGCCCAAGGCAGAGGGGAAGTGGGGGGGAGGGGGGAGGAGAGCAGGCCGCAGGGTGGGGCTCCATCTATAAAGGCTGTGAGGCTTGCTGGCCTGCCTGGCAGGAGAGCGAGGAGTCACCCCAGCAGGTACCGGCTCCTGGGACCCCGCAGGCGTTGGTGAGTCCTGCCCCTCTCCGCGCTCCCCCCGCCCCGGTCTCCGATCTTGGCAGAGACCAGCCGCAGGCCACACCAGCACCACCTGTCCCGTGCAGAGGGCCCTGGGTGTCGGACTTGAGATGGGGGTGTTCCCAGTGCCCGCTGCTGTCCATTTTGGGGCCTCATCACCTCCACCTCTCCCATTATTCCTCAAGACACCCGAGGAGGAAGAGCAGCCTGCACTATGAACCCGTGGCTCGTGCTCTGCCTGGTGGCCAGCTTGGTGGGCGCCTGGTCTACTATCCATGCTCAAGGTAATGTCTTGGGCCATACCTCCCCTGCCTCCCGGGAGCCCTCCCCCCCCATCCTTCCTGCCCTCCCCCATTCGCCCCTCCCCTCTTCCAGAAGCCTTCCCCGTTCCCTCTCCACCACCGAATTCTGACAGACAGCTCCCGCCCCAGGGCTGTAGAAACTCCTGGCATTTGTGCAGCTTCCTGGGGGTGCAGGCCCCCCAGCTCCTCCTTCCAGAGCCCCTGTGGTGCCTCCTCCACGGTCCGAGACCCAAGGCCTCCCTGCCAGGACTCTAGCCAGCCCAGGGACTGTGGGGAGCAAGGGTGGCTCCCAGTGGTGGCAGATCTAGGGACACACTGCAGTGATGTGACCCAACAGGAGTGAGTCGTCCCCCCACCCACAGGCTACCTGTGTGCTGAGAGTTACTACTCAGTCTTCATGAGCCTCAGTTTCCTCATCTGCAAAGTGGGGCTCTGAAATCCCCCTGTGGAGATAGGACATGAGAATCCAATGGGCTGATATTTGCAAAACTCTTGGCCCAGTGCCTGGGCAACAACAGTGATAACCATTACTGTTATTAATGGGGAGTCCCTTCCCACTTCTCCCTCCATTAGGCAGCTGAGGATTTGGTGCATACAGTATCCACCAAGAGCCCGGCCACTATGTCTTGCAACCCCAGGATATAGGACAGGGCTCCAGGGGAGGAGGCTGAGCCCCAGCAGCTGGCTGAGCAGGGTCCCTGGCTTGGTCAAAGCCCCAGAGCCCCCTTCCCCGCCACCTGCCCTACCTGCCCCACCTGCCCGTCACTAGGTCTGAGAGGCCCCAGCTTCCAGCAGACCTTACCTTTGCCCAGGATCGGGCTGGGCTTCATTCCCATTGTCCTACTATCAGAGGCCCATTCCAGGAGCCAGGCCCAGCTTGGGGCCCTTTGATCCTGGGAGCAGAGTGGCCCCCGGCCTGCCTCGTACTGCAACCGAGGGTCCATCCAGCACCCCTGCCCCTTGCCCTCTGGGCCCAAGGTTTGGAGATGCGGGGGAGCACTAAAGTCCTCCCCCATCCTTCCTACTGCACTTGGCCAGAACTCAGGTGTGGTGCCTGGAGGCAGGGGGCAGCTGAGGGATGGATCCCTCAGGGCCTTGAAGGCCTCTCACTGTCTGTCTCATCAATTCCACCTGCTCATGCTCCCAGGCCCTGCCGGCACACCTCTTCTTCCAAGCCCACCCCGCTCCAGGTCCCTGCTCTTCCCCCCTCCCAGCACAGACCGACCCCTGGGTCTCCCCACCAAGCTGAGAGAGCCCCATGTCCAATCCCCCTCTGTGTTTGTCTACACATCTGGCACCTAGTAGGAACTCGAAATGCTTTTTTCAAGCAATCAGTAAATGAACAGAGACCTCCTGGTTTCTGGCCCGCTGACTGAGTGGTCACTCTGCTGGGGACAGAAGGGCAGAGGCCCTTGAGATGGCCCTAGGTGGGGGAGGGCCAGGCTGAGCAGGACTTGGGGCGTCAGGAGCGGCCAGCCAGACCGTTCATTTTAGGAGGGCCTGGGCTGAGCGTGGTGGCCCCCAGCGCCTCCTCGGGGCGCTCCATCTGCGCCCCTTGCCCTCCGCCCCAGAGCAGAAGTGGCTTTGGTCCCTCATTCATTGTGTGGTCCTGGGCCCTTCCCAGCCCGGGACTGTGGACCCCCTCCAACTCCTGCCAGCCGTCCCCATATCAGGAGCCAAAGGGGAGCCGCGTTGGCCTCCTTCTCACCTGGGCTGGGAGGGCTGTGGTCTGTTTTGGGGTGCCTGCGTCTGGGGCAGCCCGTGCAGAGTGCATGTGCACACAGAGACGTGAGCTCCGGCCGTGCTTGCAGGTGTCTCTGAGGACTGCTGCCTGGCCTACCACTCCCGTGTTCGGCCTGGCTTCCTCCGGTACGCCCGGAGTTACCGGCGCCAAGAAGTGAGCGGCAGCTGCAATCTGCCTGCTGTGATGTGAGTGGGACTGTGGGAGGCTGGCGTGGGCAGGGGGAGTCTCCTGCACAGCTTTGCTCCCTGCTCACACCCTAACCTGGGGACCCGCTCCCCCACCCCATCCCCCAGATTCTTCTTCCCGAAAAACAAGACCCTGTGTGCGAACCCACGGGACAGCTGGGTGCCGAAGATGGTAGACTTCCTGGATGCTGGGAACAAGACCCTCTCAAAGCGCCACTGGAGACACTTGCAAGGTGGGTGAGACCCACGCCCAGCCTCCAGGGGGCCTCCGCCTCCCTGCTGTGGGCCCCTGGGCTCCTCAACCCCCAAAGGAGGGGATCGAAGTCCAGCATGCTGACAGCTGCCGCCGCCCCAAAGAGGACCCGCCGATTGCTGGTGAGTGGAGACTGAGTGAATGAACAACTCTTTTAGCCAAGACTTTTTCCACTGTTAGAAATGGCAAACGCAAGCAAATGGGAAACTCGTCGGCTCAAGTAACTAGCCAACGGCTTCAGGCTTGGCTGGATCCAGGTGCTCAGAGAGTATTGGTGGAGTTCTTATCTATTTCTTTCTCTCTTGTACAGTCATCCTCTTTGGAGCTAGGAAGTCGAGCATTGGAATCTCCAAGCTGCCGCTGCCCAAGGTTAGCAGGTTCACCAGAAGCGACAAGGAAAACTACCCTCCTGACAAAAGCTAATCCAGGTAAGGACTCTGATCATGTGACCATCCCCCACCCATCACCACTGCTGAGGGATGAAGGCTCATGATCAGCACAGACTGGGTGAGGGGACTCCCTTCCAGGACCAAGGAGGCTGGTTCTGTGGTCAGCCCTGTAGGCTGACACTCGGGGCTGTTTACTGCCCTAACCCAGCCTAGGGGGCTTCAGCAAGTGCTGCAATGAAATGTCAGGTGTGCGGACCAACAGCTGCAGGGCCCCCAGCTCCACTCCAGTCCCCATCACCTGCCGGCCTCTCCAATCCCCCCTGCAGGACCGTGAGCCAACACATCTCCAGGATTAGCCCAGTGCAAGATGGGCTGGACCTTCCTCCACTGCAACAGTCCCCTGCGGCTCCGGGTGCCCCAGCCTCCCTGTCATTCGGGCCAAATTCAGTCCTGTGCCTGAGCCTGCGGTTGGCTCCCTCCCATCACCCCTGCCCCATCCCGCTCCTCAGGCAGCTGGAAGGAGAGAGCTGACCTTACTTCAAGCCCTCTTGCCTGCTCCAGGAGCCAGAGTCTGCGCTAAGCTATGGGTCTTGTAGAGGATCACTGGAATACATTGCCCGCCTGCAGCCTCTTGCCACCCACCCTGGGCCACTCCTGCCGGGTCCCTCTGGGTCCTTGCAAAGCACCAGTCCATCCCAGGACACTTCTCCCAGGCTGCTTTTCTATAGTTTTTTAAATAAACCTTTGATGAGATGCCATGCCTGTCGCGTTTCAGTTTGGGGTGTGAGTTGCTGCCCCTGCCTGTGTTGAATCCCACGTGACCATCCCATCCCCAGATCTGTGCTGGCAATCCTCACAGCTGATGGCTCCCAGGGGACATGCTGGCTGCAGGCCCGGGTTCGAGTCCAGTTGGTGACCTTGAGCAAACCCCTTGCTCTCTTGGCGCCTCTTTCCTTGCCTCTAAAACGGGGCTCACTGTGCTTGTTCTGCTCAGCTCCCTGGGCTGTAGTGAGGCTGGCTAATGCGGAGGAGCCCTCTGCAAGCTCTGACAGGGGTCCAGAGAAGCTCCGGTTGGGTCAGGGGGACCAGAACTAGGCCAGGAACAGAGCCCTGGGACCAGGCACCAGTGACCATCCTGCAGGGAGAGGCAGGGCCACATTCAGGTCACTCAGCCAGACTCAAGTCATCCAACTGTCCTCTCCCCGGGCGGTCTGTTTCCACCACGAGAGAGAACATTCCAGATGAAAACCAAATGCTCCCTCTCTAGAGGACAAGAGGCGGTTTGGGGGCTGATGGGTCACACCCAGGCCCCGCTAGGCTGTGGAGGCGATTCGGGCAGATTCTACAAACTCTCTAAGCCTTGGTTCCGCCCCCTGTAAAATGGGTGATATCGCCGATTTTCTCAGACAGGTCAGCGGGGACCAAATGCTCTACTGTCTGGGGTGCCTGGCTGGCTCAGTCAGGAGCGCGTGTGACTCTGGACCTTGGGGTCGTGAGCTCCAGCCCCACACTGGGTGTAGCGATTACTAAAAAAATAAGTAAGGAAACTTAAAAAAAATAAACGTGCCGTCTGACAGGCACAGCGTCCGCACACGCTGACTGCACAGCCACGCTCTCCCGGGACGGACGCGGGCTCTGCTGCCTGCCGCCGGGGGTCACCTTCACCTCCGTAAGCCTGCTTTCCAATCGGTGAAATGGGGATGAGCACAACAGCCTCTATTCCAGGGGGTTGCGAGGACTAGTAAATGGGTTGACAATGGGAAAATACTTGGAACGGCGCCTGGCACATCATACGTGGTCAGGAAGCATGAGCCGTTGTCGTCAGGATCGGTGAACCCGCAAGGGCTTCCAGGGGTGGCCACCATCAGCCTGGCCTTGTGCCACTCACGGGTCTGAAGTTCACAGAACCTGCCTGCACCCTGGGACCGTGTCCCCCACCCCCAGGTGGACAGTGGCCTTCCCGTGTCTCACCTGCATGGTTTCTCCTCCGAGCCCCAGGCTGAAGTCCATCCTACCCTCCAGGGCCTCCTGCTCCCCGACCTGTGAGCCCGGCCTGGCCCTCCTGAGGGCAGCATCTCCTGACTTCCAGAACATGCCAAAGGGGCAGACTCAACCCAAAATAACTTTATTGTTGTCTCTGCTTCTGATATAAAAGCAGGCTGGAACCCTAGCCCACCCCACCGGGGGCTCGAGCACGGCTGCGTGTCACCAACTCTGGCTGGGGCCCCAGAGGCTCTTTGGCTCAGAGGGCCAAGGCCCAGGCCCACCCCAGCTGTCCGTTCCCATGTCCCACCGCGCCCCGGGGTGAGCCCTGGGGCAGTGCAGCAGTGTAAGCCTGAGACTGACCAGCTACGGTGAATCACAGGCCCCTCCTTGACCCTGGCTGGTGGAGGAGGACGGTGCATGCCATGGCTTCCAGCTGTCTCCAGACAAGGCGGAATGTTGGGGTCCCCCTGGGCAGAGGCTGGGTTCGCCTGAGGTCGCAGAATCACATTTTACTCTTCCTGAGTTTTGGGGTTCCACCTGGTCAGTGATCCCATTGCTGGTGGGATCGGTAGCCCCCCAACTCCAGAATCTGCCGTTCAGGAGAAGAGGATGAATGGGGGGCCCTGGGGCGCACCCGAGGCCAAGGCTTCACCAGGGTCACCAGGGTCTCTCTGCGGTGTGCAGTGAGCTGAGTGACATCAGTTTCCCCCAAATCCTGCCGGAAGAGGCAAGGATGGGGCAGTGCGCATGCAGGGAGTCCAGAGAGGGGGCTGCGGGAGGGGCCTGAGGTCAGGCAGGAGGTACGGGCTTCTTCCAGCTACAGCAGCCGCAGATGCACCTTCAGCCGCAAGGCCCCGCCCCCTGGTGTCAGCTGCCCCTTCGGCCAGGTGCCCCAGGGCCCTGCCACGCTCACCACCTCCAGCTGGTAGGTTCCAGGCCCTGGCCTCCGTCGCCCCAGCTGCAGGGAGCTGAGGCCCCGGAAGTGATGCATGTGGAAGAAACCTGGCCCATTGCCACGGGCAATGACATAGCGGACCCGTCCCCGCAGGCTCTCCAGGGCGGGCCGCAGCTCCAGAATGTGCTCAGCCCCACCCAGGCGTGAGAGGTTCAGGCCCAAGGTCAGTGGGGCCTCCGAGTCAAGGCTGGCCAGGCTCACCTGTGGACAAAGACCAGGCAGGTGCCGGTCAGAGGCGGGGAGAATGGGAATGCAGTGGATAGGGGCCACAAGAGAGGAGCTGCCCAATAGCCTTCCGGTTCCCGGGGTGGGGGGGTTTGCGACGCTTCCTGCATCTGGGCTCTTTGAGAGCGCCCTGTGTGCAGATGACAAACCCCTCTTTATGTGAACTGCTCTGAGTGCGCTCCTGGTCCTGGCAGCCGGACAGGGCCCTGAATGAGCCAGTGGCCTCAATGGCAGGCTAACCGGGACCGGGTGACGTAGCCAGTCCTACAGGAGGTGATCTGTGTTTTCTTCTCCTTGGCTCTGGGCACTGCTATTTGTTCCGCCTCATTTACATGTTGGGGGGGGGGTGTGCTTTGTGGTTGTGTTAATGTGAAAGCTAGTCCTGTTTCCCTGCCCCTCCGGTCTGGAGACTTCAGCCCTCCCCCACTACCCGGCAGTGTTGCTCAGACATGTGCTCTTGCTGACACCTGCTGGCAGTCTTGGGTATTGCAGGCAAAGCCGGGGAGGGTGCAGGGGAATGGGGGGAAGGGGGCAGCCCCCCTCCACCCAGATCCACGGGCGCCCAGCCCAGGAGCCCCGACAACCACTGCACTCACTCTTACAGACACAGGGCCCTACCTTTGAGAAGCTTACAGAAAACAATGGCAACAACAGGAAAGGGGAGAAAAAGGGGGGATAGGACAAAGTAATACACCCATATTTAGTTAAATCCAATACTGAAAGCCCCTCAGACCCAGCATTCCTATCTCACTTCTGCCTTCCTTCTCCCCACCTGGTGGCCCCCGTAGGCGCTGCGCTGTGGCCGGTCACGAGGGGCGAGGCCATTGATCTTGCATTCATAGCAGGCTTCGGATGAGAGCAGCTCCTCCTCGTCTGGGGCCTCCTGGGGTCCAGGGCTGAAGCCCAGGCCAGAGACACAGTGCCTGGGCCAGGACAAGGGGGTGGTGGGTCTTCAGGGGCAGGCTGGTGGGATCTCCCCCGCACCCCCTCCAGCCCCCACTCTCCATTCAGAGCCACACTGCCCGTGGGGATGGGTGCCGGTGTGTAAATGTGCGGGCGAGCCTTTGCGTGCGCATGCACAAAGGACGTGTGCGTGTGTGCACGCATCCCTTAGCTCACCCGGGCAGAGATGTGAACCTGCAGGCACCCCGGCTGCTGGTGTGTATTATGTGCACACATGTGGACACTGAGACATACGGATGCATAAGGTACCCAGGCGTGTTGGTGTAGGTGTGAGTCGTGCAGAGGCTCGAGGGTATCACAGAGTGTGCACCTACCGTTGTGCACGTGCAAATATATAGGAGCACCATGCAGGCAATTACACCAAAATGGGGTGTGAGCTCGTGTGTGCACCCACGCGTGTGCCGTGGGTGCCCAGGTCTCTGTGCACACGTGTGCAAATGGCCTGCGTGCGTGGACACGTGTGTGTGCGTGTGCGCGCTCTCACGGGGTTGGGGACTCGGCCTGCCCCGCTCCAGCCCCTCACCCTTGCCCGGCCCGGAAGTAGCCTTGGGGACAGCCACACAGGAAGCCACCAGGGGTGTTGGTGCAGCTGTAGCTACAGGGGCCTCCCCGGGCGGCACACTCGTCTAGGTCCTGGCAGCCCCCCAGGGCCTGGTCAAAGTCAAAGCCAGAGGGGCAGACGCAGCGGAAGCCGCCCAGCGTGTTGTGGCAGGAGGCGCTGCCACAGGCCGCAGGGGACAGCGCACACTCGTTTTCGTCTGTGAGTGGGGACAGCAAGAGAGAGAGAACGTGGGGGGGCGGCTTTTGCACCCCCAAAGCCCCTGCCCACAGCACTCCCGGTGCCCACGCAGTTAACTCCGGCTCCTCCTTCAGAGCCCTGGGTCAGTGTCACCCTCCATCGGGCTCTCCATCAGCCCTGGCATAGGTCTGCCCCACCCCTCCACTCCTCAACTGCCCCAGCCCTGTCATCCTCCCTCGAAGCATTTCTCAAAATTTCCCAGGAATCCTAAATTGCGGGACCATCTAGAATGAGGTTTCGTACTTGGCACAACGACACGGGACTGGATCATTCTCTGCGGTGGGGGCTGCCCCGTGCACCATACGATATTGAGTGGTGCCCGTGGCCTCCACGCACGAGGTGCCAGGAGCATCCACCTCCCAGTTGTGAGGAGCAGAAGGTCTCCAAGACCCTTCAAAATGTCCCCGAGGGGGCAGAACCATGCCCAGTTGAGAACCCCTGGCCTAATCAATCCCGGTCCCCACCACTAGAGGAGAACCCCGGTGAGCAGGGATGGAGTCTGCTACTTGGCCCACTTCTGCATCCCAGGGCCTGACGCAAGGTAGGTCCGGGGCAAGCTGCAGCTGGAGGAGTGAGGGCGTGAGTGTGCAGAGGGGGAGGCAGGCCGACCAGGAGGAACCGGCAGCGGGGCCGAAGGTGTGTGCCGTCCCCAAGGGCCAACTGCTGCAGGGCAGGGCAAAGATGGAGAACGTAGCCGAGGACCCACCATCAGGGGCGGCAGGAGGAACCAGGGGGAAAGGAGTGTCAGAGAGGCGGTGTGGGAGGGCAGGGGCAGCCGCGTCACAGAGGCGGAGGGAGGAGAGTGTCCAGGAGGAGCAGGTAGTGGTGCCCAGAACAGGGGAGGTGGAGAGGTCTCCAAAGAGTAGGCCCAACAAGGGTAGAGAGTGAAAGCCAGACTGTAGGGGAGGAGCAGAGAGACGTGGCAAGGATGAGGCTGCCGTGAGGAGGGCTGGAGCACAAAGAGAAGCATGTGATGGAGAAGTTCGGGGTGCAGAAGGCTCGTCCCCCAGACTGAGGGCCTCTGCAACGGCTATGGCAAAGACGCAGCATGCACGCCCCTGGTCCCCATTGCCACACCCGGAGCAGGCATCACTAATCAATCCCAGCACTCTTTCCCAGTGATCACAGGTACTGACTCAGAATCCTTCTCAGCTGAGCCCCCCAGGCCACCACTCCCTAAAAAGTGGACTTGAGCTTTGCCAAGCTTGCCCTGCGCCTCCCCAGCAGTGGAGGTGGGGGGTGCACGACCCAGATGGGGGTGGTTCCTAGTTGCCTGCTTTGGACAGATTCTGATGGGGGGCCCCAGCTTCCTCCCAGCCCTGGACACTCACCCACACACTGGCTCCACTGGGAGTGCGGGGTGAAGCCCTGGGGACAGCCACAGCGGTAGCCCCCCAGCTCGTTCTGACAGCCGTGCTGGCAGCGATGGGGCCCGTCACACTCATCCACGTCTGCGAGACACGGACAGGGCCAGACGGCTTGCCTGGCGGCCCCCTGGACCACATCCCAGGCCCGGACCCCACCCAAAGCCCAGCTCTACCTTCACAGCCTCGGCCTGAGCTGTCCGGGGCGAAGCCTTGGTGGCACTCACAGCGGAAGCTGCCGGGCGTGTTGTGACAGCGCCCATGGGTGCCACACGGGCCAGGCTGAGCCAAGCACTCGTCATTGTCTGCAGGGGACAGGGAACGGGCAGGACGGCCTAACGGTTAGGGGATTCGGGTCGGGCACCACCGTGCCGGGCCCACCGCCTGATCAACGGTTTGGCTTCGGGCAAGTCACTGTCCCTCTCTGTGCCTCAGTTTTTCCTTCTGTGAAATGAGATCTGTAACCGTCCCCACCTCCCAGAACTGTCCCGAACATTCAAGATCATGCACGTATAGGACTTCATTCGACTCTCATCGGCATTGCCTCCAAAGCTGTGTGACCTGGGGTGGCCGACTTACCCTCTGTGGGCTCAGGAGGGGGTGACTTGTAAGAAGAGACACCCAAGACCTTGCTCTCTCTCTCTCTGCCTTGTGAGCCACAGAGAGGAGGCAGCTGGTAAGAGTCCTTACCAGAAACCGACTGTCCCGGCACCCTGACCTTGGACTTCCAGGCTCTAGAACCGTGAGCAGTAAGTGTCTACCGTTTAAGCCCTGCCCCCCACGCCGGTCTAGGGTGTTTTGTGACAGCAGGGCAAGCCGAGACATGGCTGGTTATGGTGGTAATGGCCCACACTGGTGGTTTATTTCTGGCGGGCAACCCTAGTTTTGGCTTCCTAGAGTATGAAGATTCTTGACCCTAGACACTTCCCATTAGGGACTTGGACTCTCTCTTGGGTGCAAGAGACACTGGGGACATGGGGCTTCTAAGCCAGGGTGGCTCCTGTATCTGCTTGTGGGCTCATCCCTCATGTCCGAGCTGTCCCTTGAGGGGCCGCAGAGACCAGCCCGGGATTCCTGCCAGGATCCCACCAGAGAGAAGCATCAGGCGCTACGGCGGTTTCTCTCCCTTGCATCCAGCAAAGCAAACCAAGGGTCAGTGGCCCTACTGTGGTCATGTAAGTTTGATCTTCTAGTTCAGGCATCAGCAAACAGAGGCCCTGAGACCCAAATCTGGCCCGCTGCCTGTTTTTTTGTAAATGCATTTCATTGGCACACGGCTTTGCCCATTCGTTTATGATGCACCGTCTGTGGCTGCTTTTGATCTACAAGGGCAGGGCTGAGCGTTTTCCACAAAGGCCGTATGGACCACAAAGCTGAAAAGATCTACTGTTGGACATTTGATAGAAAAACATTGGCGACCCCGGATCCAGTCAGTCTAAGCCCACCCACAAGGAGTACAGGCTATGCGGGTGTGAGTGAGGAATGACCCGGAGCCCTCGATCTGTGGGAGAGGAGTCTCACGTGAGCTTGCCCGGTGCATGGCACGCATGGGCCGAGTGCAGGGCCCGCACGTGTACGCGCATCGAACTGCCCTCGTTAGGTGTGCGCATCTTCGGGGACAGAGAAAATAACTGTACAGAGAACGAGAAATGCAGCTTGTTTCAAGGCTCATAGGCTCTTCCCAGATGGGCACACAACTCGCTCCAGCACCTCCTTCTGCCCTTTGTATAAATGTCCCTTTCGACGAGGCTTCTCCTGACGCCTACGCGAAATACTGCAGCCTTCCCGATCTCGTTACTCTGCTTTATGTTTTCTTTCTTTCGCGCCACGCGTCGCCTTCCAACACACTCTGGTGTTAACTTACTGTCTGCTTCTGCCTGGATGCCCTGCTAGTGGGGACCATCTGCGGCATGGCAAGCTTGCCCTTGTGTGCACTGCTGAGCCCTCGGGGTTTAGAACAGGCCTAGGCAAATCGCTTCTGCAAAGGGACAGCTGGGAAAAATACGTGTGACTTTGTTGCAGCTACTTGGCTCTGGCTCTGCTCTTGTAGCTCAAAATCAGCCACAGACCGTATGTAAATGAATGGGCGTGACTGCGTGCCAATAAAACTTTATTAACAAAAGCAAGTAGGGGGCTGGGCCTGACCTAGGCGATTGGCGTGGGCAGCCCTCTGGCCTAGAGCACTGCCTGGTGGTACATAGGAGGTCTCAGTAGGTGTGGGCTGAGTGGGTTAGTGGGAGCCTGAATGGGGCCACCCACGGCTGGGCTTGGCCCTCAGCGGGAGTCTGATTCTTTCACACTAAAAAGTGATGGAAGCGGCAGATGCCCCTGCAGCTTTGGCTTCTGAACCAACTTCCCCTCTGGACCCTGTGAGCCCCCGGGCTTTCCAGAGCACCCTGGGGAGACCCTAGGAGAGAGACCCAGCAGGGAGTAGTCAGGGGCAAAAGTGGGTCTCCTGGGCCAAGGTCAGAGGGACTCTTCAGGGCGGGCCTCCCACGTCCCCAGGGTGAAGAAGGAGACTGCCACCGGGATATGAGCACCCACAGAGCACGGGCTTTGCTCCAATCACCCTCTGTCCCTGATGTCTGGCACACACTTGGTGCTTGCTACATATCTGGGAAACGAGTGAAGGCCGGCGCCACGCATCAGCTGCAGGGAGGGGTGGGAGGACTCACCAAGGCAGGCCTGGTGGTGCTGCGTGAAGCCGGGGGGACAGCGGCAGGCGAAGGAGCCGATGGTGTTGGCGCAGAAAAACTGGCAGTTGTGTTGCCTAGAGGAGCACTCGTCCAGGTCTGCGGCACAGAGGGTCCCCGCAGGCTCAGGGCAGGGCCCCCCCGGGGCTGGGGGCTTCCCAGGGGCAAGACCCCAAGGTTGGCGTCCAACGCCACGCAGTGGGGTGGAGGGGACGAGCCCGGGGCATCCCTGGGGGGCCAGGGATGGAGCCCCACAGGGCCTGGGGGGGGCCCTCACCTCTGCAGGTCTTGCCATCCTCCTCCAGCAGGTAGCCTCGGGGGCAGGCACACAGGAAGCCGCCCTCAGTGTTTTTGCAGAGGAAGGCGCATGGCGTGGGGGCCTGGCCACACTCATCTACATCTAGAGGGTCAGCAGCATGCAGGGGGATCAGACAGATGTTCCCAGAGGCTCAGAGCCTGGGGCCTCCACTCAGGCCCTAACCAAGCAGACTCTATGGGCTTACACAAGGAATTGGCCCGTTTTCCATAAAAAGCCAGAGAATAAACATGTTTGGCTCCGCGGGCCACGTGGTTTCAGTTCCAACTACTCAACTCTGCCTTTGTGGCGTGGGAAAGCAGCCATAGCAGGAAGGGAAACAAATAGGCATGGCTGTGCGCCAATAAAACTTTATTAACAAAAACAAGTGGAGGGCCGGACTAGTCCCCTGAGCTGGAGTTTGCTGATCCCTGACTTAGGTGAACATCTGCTACACGGTGTAACTGAAAATCTCAGGATGCACAAAATACCAGGAGGGAAGTGGCCCAGATGGGGTTGGGGCAGGGGGCAGGACCAGGGATGCTCTGGTGCTGTGCAAAGGGGCAGGGCCAGGGGACGGGGGTGGGGAGGCTCACCCAGACAGGCTGTGGCAGCAGCATCTGACGTATACCCCAACTGGCAGCGACAGTGGAAGGAGCCAAGGCTGTTGATGCATTCACCATGGGGGCACAGGTGAGCAAGCATGTGGCACTCGTCCACATCTGGGGGGACATGCAGGGCTCAGCTGCGCTGGCCGCCTTGGGGCACTGGGGCGCGCCTCCACCCTTGTGTCCACCAGCCCTCCCCCTGGGGCAAGGCCAGCCTCTACTGACCCTGGAGACCCCACCCTTTGGCTGTGAGTCACACCTCTGCCAGCAGGAAACACTAACGGAGCTCCTTCCACCACACACTGAGGACACCTGGCGGTGGGGGGACGCACCCTCCCCACAGCCTCACCAGGGCACCCACACAAACGTGGAAGCACAGAGATTACACATGCACTGCACACCAGTCACACGCTGACGCTCCTGCAGAATCTCAGCGACACACACTCAAGGGTTCCTCGGTCCCCCCCCAGACACACCCTCGCAAAGGCACTTCCTCCTCAGCCCTCGGTGTCACAACTGCTCCCTAGAGATGACCTGTGTCACCCTCACTGACACGCCGGAGGAGACAGACTCGTGCAGAGAAACACTCACACTCACTCACACACGCACCCACCCTCACAGACCCTTGCTAGACTCCAAAACGCACGGATGGGCTCAGTCCCTCTCAGCCACCTTTTGGTACGTCCTCCTGCTGCAGCCAGCGTGCACGAAACGCACACCAGCTCCTCCCCTCACCGGCACACACGCATGCTCACTAACACGCTCACACGCTCAAGAACACACGGAAACACCCTCATGACCGAGCTTGCTCACAAAGGGAAGGCACACCAGCTCACACGCTTCCGCAGGCTCATCCACGAGCCCGCAGAGAACAAAGAACACATTGTCTCACACACCTGCTCACACCCCTGCTCACCCCGTCACCCCAGTTCACGCACACACACAGCAACGAATGGGCCCCGGTTCCCACTGGCTCGCACGCCCTAGCACCCTCCGGGCCACAGACACGACCATGAACAAACTCGCCACCCACCTTGGCCTTCAGCGGTGTAGCCCGGGCCGTGGGGGCACAGGGTCCTGTGGGCAGAGGTGCCAGGCAGGGGACAGAGCTCACAGCGGGGCCCCCAGCCCCGGCCGCCCCCACAGCAGCACTGGGCCCTCGTGACGGCCTCACCGCTGCTCGACTGAGCCTGGCACACGGCCTGCAGCACCTCGGAGAAGCAGGGCCCCTGCCGGACGTCTGTGGGGAGCGGGCGGGGGCAGTGGGCAGGATAAACGGGCCGTCGGGGGGGTCCCCTTCCCTGGGGCATCCGGTGGCCCCGAGAATCTACCAAGGGCTCCCGGATGTCTCTGACACGCTACGCGTGGGCACGGGGTGAAACCCTCCCGACCACCGTCCCCTGGCTCTGTTAGATGCCCTCTGTGGGCGGGGGCTGGGACCACCGCAAACCCAAAGGGTCAGAGAGATGCCCTGTGGCTGCAGAGCTGGGCGGCTTCCTGAGGGCAAAGGGCAGCATCTCCCGGCCGCAGAGACCATGCACGGTCAAGGGCAGCATGGAGGCCAGGGAACACTGGGGAGGAGGCACGTGGAGGTATGCTGGACACACAGTGGGGACCGAGCAGATGGATGACATCCAGGGACCGGACGTGGAGGGGACAGGCTGGAGACTGGAGTGGGTGAGGAAGAGGGGGCTGTCGGTGACTCCAGGGGGCTGGCCTGCGTCCCCAGCCCGGCGCTGGGGCATCGCCGAGACGGGGCTCAGGAGGCAAGGGGCTGAGCTGGCTCTGGGGTGACCCTGTCGGGGGCGCTGGCTTGAGGCGCTCCCAGGCGGCAGCGCCACGTGGGGGTGGCTGTGCCCGCCGTGCCCGGCCACACTCACCATGACACTCGGTGCCGGCGGGGCTGAGCCGGAAACCCTTGTCGCAGTCACACTGGAAGCTGCCCGCGGTGTTGATACAGTGGCCGTTAGTACACAGGCTGGGCTGGGCACGACATTCATCCTCATCTGCGGTGGGAGGGATGAGGCAGGCCGCCGGGGAGGCCAGAGCCCCCCAGGCCAGCCTCCCCTCGCCCTGGAGCGTCCCCTCCCGCCGCATTCTCTTGCTTTGACTTCTCTCCCCCTGGGGGTGTCCCCGCACCCCCAAAGCACCCCCATACCTGTGCAGCCCTCCCCGGAGCTGGGCTGAGGCCGCAGGCCTGGGGGGCAGACGCAGGCGAAGGTGCCGATAAGGTTCTTACACAGCATGCCCCGCTCGTGGCAGTCCTGCTGACCATCCGCACACTCATCCACATCTGCAGGTAACCAGGGAGAGAGGGTGGCCAAGGTCAGGCGCCCCGTGGCCTGGCCCCAGGCTGTGGGGGCCTGGATCCCACCTCTCTCTGGGGGCCCCAGCCAGGGCCAGAGTGAGGTTGGCACAGCACTGCCACGTGCCCAGGCCCCTGGAGAAGCCGAGGGGTCCAGGAGCACCCCCACGTCCACATGCCCTGCCCACATCAGGGTCTGTGACTCTCTCTGGCCTTCACCATGGTCCCCAGAGCACTGAAGGAGCCCTGGAGGCCCCAAATCCCAGCCCAGAGCTGCTCGGCTCTGACACGAAGGACACTGGGGACCAGAGAACCCCTTGTGGTGGACAGCCTTTCTGAGCTCTGCGGTCTATTGAGCAGCGTCCCCGGCCACTCGATGCCTGTCCCACCCCCCACACCCGACTGTGACAACAGAAACTGTGTCCAGACATTGCCACACCTACCCTGGGGGGGCACAGCTGTTGTCCTCACTGTCCTACTCAGCTCTGGAGAGGCCACCAGAGCCAGTGACCTGTGAGCCTCGGGACCCCTTTTCCCGACGACAGAGGGCCACTCACAGCAGAGCGCCCGCTGCCCCCCACGTGCCTCGGGGCTCTGCTCAGCCTCGGGCAGCCCGGGCTCTCACCAGCCTGTCTTCTCCAGGACCACGGCGCGGAGGACCCGGGGAGCCCGGCCCAGCCCAGCGCGCCCCAGCGCTGCCCGTCCTACCTCGGCACATGGCGCCGTCCTCCCGCAGGGCGTAGCCCGCCGGGCAGGTGCACACGTAGGAGCCCTCGGTGTTGTGGCAGCGGAAGGCGCAGAGCAGGGGGTTCAGGGAGCACTCGTCCACGTCTGCGGAGGCCAGAGCAGGTGCCTGCTGGGCAGGGTCGGCCTGCGGGCTCCACGCCCCCGCCCCCAGGCCGGCCCCCGGGCGCCCCCCACCCCGCAGCCCAGCTCCTGGCCGGCAGGGTCTACCCTCGCAGGTCATCGTGGGGCCAGGCTCGAAGCCGTCGGCGCAGGCACATTCGAAGCCTCCGATGACGTTGGTGCAGGTGCCTTGGCCGCAGGGGTGCCCGACGGAGCACTCGTCCGTGTCTGGGGGCGGGGGAAGGGGGCAGTCAGGGCCTGCAGGGGGCCTCCTGTCCTCGACGTTTCGAGAGTGTCCTGTCCGCCCCCACCGACCGCCGCAGCGACACAGGGCCAGGCCCGGGGCCCCTCTGGGCCGGATGCAGGGCAGGCAGGTGCAGGGTGTCGGCCTGAGTGAGCGGATGGCCTGAGTGCGCGAGTGAGTGAGTGAGTGAGTGAACCACGCAAAGGGTCGAGCGGGTGGGGAGAGTGACAGCGGCCGAGGAACAGGATCCTGCCTCGGGTGGCACCTGCTCTGCCCACCCCACTCCTTCCTTCCAGGGGACATGGGCTGGTCACGCACCCACACAGCGGATGCCTGTGAAGTCCAGGCTGTAGCCAAAGGGACACTCGCAGCGGAATGAGCCGTCGGTGTTGACGCACAGGCCGTTGGTGCAGATGCCGGGGCTCTCCGCACACTCGTTCACGTCTGTGGGCGGCAGGGGTGGCCGGCACGGCGCCTGTCACGCCCCAGCCACACTCAGGCGCTCTTCCTTCCCGCCGGGGCCCCTGCGGTCCAGGGCCACCCACTGGTCGAGGAGGGAGTCTGAGACTTGGGAAGGGGGAGGGGCAGAGCCCAGCCAGAGTGGGCGGCGGAGGAGGGGCCCTTAGCGCGTGGGCGAGGGGCTCACCTTCCCGAGAGTCATCGGGGCCTGGGACGGCCCCGTGGCCAAAGGGGCAGAGCTCCTGAAAGGCGGCTGGACACCAAGAAGGGAAGGGGGTGAGCGTCGGGGGCCGGTGCAGCCCCCAGGAACCCCCTGAGCGGGTGCAGGCAACCAAACCGATGCAGGCAGGCAGGCAGGCAGAACCCAAGGGGAGACTAGACAGGGCGGGGCGCTCACCGCTGCCCTCCTGAGGACACAGCTCACAGGGGTCGTCCCAGCCCTCGCCAGGCCTCTGGCTGCAGCAGCACTGGGCCTTGGTGGTGTTGAAAGCTTTGGGCACAGAGCACCTCCCGGCCTCAAAACGGGTGAAGCAGAAACTCTGCCGCGTGTCTGTGGGGTGAGCCCCAGGGAAACATTTGAAGGGTCATCGGCGGTGCCCTGCTCGGATCCCGGGTCCCCAAGAACGGGAGGGGCCCCAGCCCTACCAATGGCCAATCAGAACCCTCCAGGCCCCTGACCGTGGTGATTGGCTCTGAGACGGACATGTGACCCGCCCTGGGCCAATGAGACGTCAGCCCCTGGACCACGGGGGATCCCTTCCAGGAACACCCCACATCCACAGCTGTGGGGGTGCCCCCTTGCCAGGGACAGCAAACTCAGCCACACTATTCTTGGCTCAGAAGCCCCTTCCCGGAGAGCCAGAGCCAGAGGACATGGGACTTCGGACCCCAAATCCTTGTCGTGGAGCCCCTCAGTCCTCAGCCCTGGACTCCCATCCGCCCGAGAAGTCCTCCAGGGCAGGCTGGGATCTGAACGACCAACACTGGTTGAGTTGCCCAGCCCACGCCGTTGTTGCCTCTAACCTGGGAGAGAAGAGGCTGGCTCGGATTGTGGAGGCTAGCCCCCACTGGACAAGGCTAGCCTAGCTGAGATGAAGCCAACCCAGGTAGGGCACCTGAAGCCATTACAGGACGACCAAAGCCCCGACTGGACTGGGATAGCCCTTCGCAGAAGTGACTTGCCTGGCCAACATGTTGTCTGGACTCGAATAACCCCACTCAGGCAGGGAACACCTCTGCCAGGCGGCGCTCCTGGAGATCCACACAGGAAACGGCAGCAGCCCCCTTTGCTGGGGGACCCAACTCTTCTCTCCCTCCCTTCCACCTCTCCTCTAAACCCTGTATGCTTTTTGGGCCACAGACTCACCAAAGCAATGGTGCCCGTTGTCGGAGAGGACGAAACCAGGCGGGCAGAGGCACTGGAAGCTCCCAGGGCTGTTGTTACAGGTGCCAAAGAGGCAGAGGTTGGGCTCCTCCGAGCACTCGTCGGTGTCTGGAGGGGTAGGGACACGAGCTGGGTGGGGGGCAGGCAGGACCTCCGCCAGAGTGGGACAGCCTCGGCTGCCAGGAGGGGCAGACAGAGTGGGGGCCCAACCCCGGGCGGGTCCAGGGACCGATGCAGGGCAGGGGCCCTGCGGACTCAGCATGAGCTGGAGCACCAGGTGGGCTATGCTGGGTGGGAGTGGGGGTCTCTCCTAGAAGGTATCTCCAAGATAGGGGTCATGGTCAGGAAAAGTTTGTCTTTAGAGACTAACTTTGTACAAAGCTAACCAAGACTGGATAAACTTAGCTTACACTGGAGAAAGTTAGCTCAGGGTAACTGCTAGGGTAGCCCGATCCAGGTTAGCCCACCCTGTACCAGGCTAGCCCATCTGCTGAGGCCAGACCGGTCCAGATTAGCCAACGCGGTACAAAGTCACCCAGTTGGGCAATTACACCAGTGGAGCTCAGGCCAGACTGGTCCTTGACCTTGACCATCACTCATCGAGTAAGGGATGACCCCACGACCATGCCTGTTTCATAGGATTCATGAGGAAGCCTGTGGGCCCCAGACAGAGAACCTGGGCCAAGCAGCCAAAATGATCCTAGTACCAGTAATTGTGTATGGAGCTGTGTTGGGTGCTGTGCTAAGTACATCCCAGGTGGCATTCCCATTTTACAGTTGGGGAAACAGAGGCCCGGAGATGCCTCCTTGGCCCCAGAGCAGGAGGTGGGGCTGGACACTCACCAACACAGCGGTCATTCTGCACCTGGAAGCCAGGGGGACAGACGCAGCGGAAGGAGCCCTCAAGGTTCTGGCAAGTGCCTGGCAGGCAGGTTCCCGTGAAGCTGAAACACTCGTTGGTGTCTGTGGAGAGGAAGAGGAGGGGTCCCAGCAGCAGCCTGTGACGGGCTCGCTTGGGACTGGGACCAGCACGTATGGTCACTGCATGATGGCCAAGGGCCCCAGGACAAGTTCTCCTAGATCCAGGGGAAGGGCTAAGACTCAGGAAAACAGGGACGGCTGGGGAAAGATCCTCTGGGTCCTCAAGTGGGGGTTATGGGTGAAGCCACAGGGCGTCCAGGGGAAGAAGGAGCAAGGTTCCTAATCTTAAGCCACACACAGACCCCCTTCAGGATTCTGTGGCATCCATCTAGCACCTTGATTATTCTTTACTTCAGAAAACTTAGGTTTTTAAGACAGCCTTACCCTAAACCACAAATCCCGTGAAAACACAGGTGGGATGCGCTAGTTTTTTCTTTTTATACCTTAAGATAAATGCATGATTATGAAATGGAACCGTGATCGCTTGGAAGTACCAACCGCAGGTAAGCTGGGAGCAGGGGGCTGGCAGAGATGGCTTCCCCACCCCCAGGCGGGACTCACCCACACAGTCCTTCCCGTCGGCTGTGAGCTCGAAGCCATCCTGGCAGATGCAGTGGAAGGAGCCAGCTGTGTTAAGGCACTGGCCAAATTGGCACACCTGCCCCACCAGAGTGGTGCACTCATCCACGTCTGCAGAAGGGGTATGGGCAGCAGGGGTCACCCACAGTCCGGGGGCTCTGAGCCTCCCTTGCACTTCTGCCCGCAACAGAAGTTAAGTTGGGGGTGGTGACTTTAGTTTATCATGTACTCATGTGCTAGGCTCTGTATATGAACCTCCCACTCTCTGATGAGGCAGACACCAATATTGTAGCACTTAATGCTATGAATTTGCCTCTGGGTACTCCATTAGGCAAACCCCACACATTTTGTTTCCAATTTCACTTAATTCAAAATATTTTCTGATTTCCCTTATGCTTTCTTCCTTGATTTCAGGATTCTTTAGCAGAATGTTGTTTAGTTTCCAAATATTTGGGGATTTTTCTGGATGCCTTTCTGTGACTGATTTCTACTTTAATTCCCGTACATTCTGAGAACCTACTTTGTATGACTCCAATTCTTTTCAATTTGTTTCTCTTTTTAAAGATTTATTTATTTATTTAGAGAGAGAGAGAGAGAGAGAGGGAAAACACAAGCTTGGGGGGGGGCGCAGAGGGAGAGAAGCAGACTCCCTGTTGAGCAGGGAGACTGACGTGGGCTCGATCTCAAAACTGAGATCATGACCTGAGCCGAAACCAAGAGTCTGACGCTTCACCAACTGAGCCACCCAGGCATCTCAATTCTTTTAAGTTTGTTAAGGTTTGTTTTATGGCCCAGAATATGGGCTTTCCTGGTAAATGTCCTTGTGCACTTGAGAAGGATGTATGTTCTGGAATGTTCTATAAATACTGACCAGGTCTAGGTGATTGACAGTGTTGTTCAGGTCTTCCCTAGCCTTACTGATTTTCTCCTTGTCTCCTCTCTTCCTGAGGGAGGAGTGTTGAAGTCTACAGCTATAACTGTGGGCTTATTTCTTTTTCAGTTCTGTCCATTTTTACTTCATATGTTTTGAAGCTCTACTGTTAGATGCATATGAATTTATGATTATGTCTTCTCAGAGAATTGCCCCCTGAATATCTGAGGTCTCTCTTCATCTCTGGTAATATTCCTTGTAATTACAGTCTATTTGGTCTATGATTAATATAGGTAGGTACTACAATTAATCTCCTTTTTTGCAGAGGAGGAAACTGAGGCCCAGAGAGGTAGATGACTTGTCTGGGGTCACACAGCAGGCAGGTGGCAAAGCTGGGGTTAGATTCATGCTGCCTGACTTTGGAATGCATGCTTTTAACCACTGCACTCAACTGTAAGCATCACCCAGGTCTTCGCTGTCCTCCCTGTACCTGCCGCCATCAAGCTGAGCATAAGCTCTAGCAAGAGACACCCCCCCCGGGACCTGACGATTGAAGAGGTGTGGGAAATTTTGTGGTTGACTCATTTTTAGAAGGAACACCAACCGCTGAGGGTTGTTTTTCTGAAGGGATCCCTGGGGCCAGAGCCTTTATTTCAGAGGGGGACCCTGAAGCCAAGGACCCACTTTTCGGCAGGGGGAGCAATGAGGCCTGCCCGCCATCCCAGGTGGCTCACCCACGCAATCTCCACTGGGTGCTGCCACGAAGCCGGGGAAGCAGAGGCAGTTGTAGGAGCCGACAATGTTCTTACAGGTCCCATTTCCACACGGCTGCTGGTCACACTCGTCGACGTCTGCCAGAGCAAAGCCCCCAAGCCCCATCCGGGTCACCCAGGGCATCGGGCAGCGCAGGGAGGGAGCGGGAGCGGGAGGGCCTGGCCTGACCCAGCCCACCTCCCCTGCACCCAGCCCTGTCCAGGTGGATGGGCAGGGCCACCTGGGGGGTGATGGCTGAAAAGTGCCCCTGGAACAATTTATCACTCCCATTTTGCAAACCGAGGCCCAAGGAGTTCAGTAAGTCATTTACCCAAGGTCTTAAGTGCCGGGACTCAAAGCTGGGTCTGTCTGTGGACCACGTGGTTGAAAGCATTGTCCTCACCCCAGGGGAGATGCAGACTTGGGCCGCCACCCCAGCCTCGCTTGGCAGCCTGGCTCTCCAGGAGGAAGCGGGAAGGGACTCTCACCCAAGCACAGGGTCTGGTCCGCCGAGGCGCGGAAGCCCCGGTGACAAAGGCATGTGTAGCTGCCCTCTGTGTCCACGCAGTCGCCATGACTACAGACGTTTGGGATCTCCCGACACTCGTTCCGTCCTGGGGGAGGGCCGGCAGTGTGGCGTCCCCAGAACCCCACCTCCACACACACGCACACACACAGTGTTTGCTGAGCCCTCATGCACTGTGAAGGGGGAGCCAGGACCTGCCTGGAGGCCCCGCATTCAAGCTGCTGCCAGCACCATGCTCCCGTTCCGCCCCCCCACCCCATTAACAGGTGCTCTGTATCCCCACCACCCCATGCATGGCACAGCCCGGACAGAGCCATGCCCGACTCAAGTCACAGGGGACGGAGCCTAGCTTTGTCCCATACCCCACACCCTCAGCCCCCACCCTGCGCCCTGCTGGGGCCCCCCACTCACCCACGCAGGCCCCATCGGGCAACAGCCTGTACCCTCGGGCGCATGTGCAGCGGTAGCTGCCGGGGACATTGACGCAGTCGGCATTCCGCTGGCAGGGGCTCTCCCCACTGGCACACTCGTTCGTGTCTGCGGAACACAGCCGACGGGCGGGAGTGCAGGAGGAGGCCTCCCCGCCGGAGTCCAGCCCACAGCCTGCCCCAGGCTTCCGAGCGGGGAATCTCTCCGGGAGTAGCCGGAACCCGAGGGCAGCGGTGATGTGGGCTGGAGGCCCCTGGACAGGCATTAGCCCCATTGTACAGAAAGGGAACCCGAGGCTGATGGAGCTTAAATGACACGCCCAGAGCGCACGGGGTGGGGGAGCAGCCTCCCACCCAGGGCTGGGGAGGCCGGGCAGGTGGCACCTTCGCAGACCAGCAGCCCGCCGTTGTAGTGGAAGCCCGTGGGGCACTCGCATCGGAAGCTCCCGATCTGGTTGATGCAGATCCCACTGGTGCAGATGGCGGGGATCTCCCCACACTCGTCGATGTCTGGGGAGGGCGTCAGCCGTCAGGGCCAGCCCAGCCCCAGGCAGCAGCCGGGGGCCCTGAGCCAAGGGGCCCCGCGGTCCGGCCACAGGGGAGCAGCTCTGCGGTGGCCAAAATCTTTCTGACACCACAGAGAGATCAGGATGCGGGACCAAGAGCTGGGGAAGCGCACGTCTCTCGGCGGAAAACCCACTGGCCGTGGCCCAGCGAGGCCGCCTCTGCCTCCTGGGGTCACAACACGGGCAAGCTGCTCGGTGAGGGAAGCCAGATGCGAGAACACAGAGCGTACAATCCCAGTGACGTGAAACGCCCAGAAGAGCGAATCCCCAGGAACAGAGAGGAGAACCGCGGTCGCCAGGGGCTGGGGGAGGACAGAACGGGGAGTGACCGTTCAAGGGGACCAGGTTTCTTTTTGCGGGACAAAGAAGTCCTAACTTAGGTCGTGGTGGGTGCACCACTCTGTGAAGACCCGGGGAACCACGGAATTGTACTTGAGCTGGGCCAAGTGTGTGGTGTGTGAGTTAGATCCCGGGGAAGCTGTTATGTATACAGTTGTCGCTTAAACAGCACAGGTTCAAACCGCAAGGGGCCCCTGAGGCATGAGTGTTTATTTTTTTATAGAAATACAGTCCTTTCCTTAAGGGTACTTTCCTTACGATTTTTTCTTTTCTTTTTTTTTTTAAAGATTTTATTTATTTGAGACAGAGAGAATGAGAGAGAGAGAGCATGAGATGGGGGAGGGTCAGAGGGAGAAGCAGACTCCCTGCCGAGCAGGGAGCCCAATGCGGGACTCGATCCAGGGACTCCAGGATCATGACCTGAGCCGAAGGCAGTCGCTTAACCAACTGAGCCACCCAGGCACCCTCCTTATGATTTTCTTAATAACGTTTTCTTGACTCTAGCTTACTGTATTGTAAGAATGCAATATATTATACATGTAATGTGCAAAATGGTGTTAATCTACTGTTTACCCCATCAGTAAGGCTTCTGGTCGCCAGTAGACTATTAGTTAAGTTTGGGGGGGGGGGGGCGCCTGGGTGGCTCAGTCGTTAAGCATCTGCCTTCGGCTCAGGTCATGATCCCAGGGTCCTGGGATCGAGTCCCACATCGGGCTCCCTGCTCCGCGGGAAGCCTGCTTCTCCCTCTCCCACTCCCCCTGCTTGTGTTCCTGCTCTCGCTGTGTCTCTGTCAAATAAATAAAATATTAAAAAAAAAAAAGTCTGGGGGGAGTCAAGAGTTATATGCGGAGTTTTGGCTGCACGGGGTTTGGCGCCCCTAACCCTCACGCTGCTCAAGGCTCAACTGTACAGAAAGGGAACCCAGTGCCCACCCGGGGGGGACGGGCTCATGACGCAGCATGGGTCCACCCGTGGAATGCCACGAAGCCGGTCAAGAGGAGTGGCACTGCATGCAGGAACCTGCCCAGGGCTCCACAACTCGTGGCTGGCTGCAAAAAAGGTGAGTTGCCGACCACTATGTAGGGGATTCTAGAATTATAAAATCTCCAACTCCCCGGAAAACATTGCCACACATTTTCAGTGGGGACCTCTATGTATACTGAAATGCATGAAGAAGGATCTAGAAATCCCCAGGGCATGTGGCATGGGAATCGTGGGAGTGTAAAGGGGACTTTGGTTTGACATGGTCACCGCGTCTGCCACATTCTGATTACTTCAAATAAGGAGGACAGCTGGAGATGGGGTCATCAATTCAACGCGACGCAGCTGAAATGTGGCATGCAGGGGTTAGGTTGTACAGAACCTTGTGTAGCTTAGCACGGAAGTGTTCTGACCCCTGCTGCATCTTGGATGAACCTCGGAATCGTCATGCCCAGTGAGAAGAGCCAGACCCAGAAGGACACATCCCGCAGGACCCCAGTCCCAGGAGGTCCCCAGAGGAGTCCCGTCCACAGAGACAGAGAGGAGAGGGTGGGAGCCGGGGCTGGGCAGGGGGTGGGGAGTCTGTGCTTCATGGGGACAGAGTCTCCGTGTGGGGAGATGGAAAGTTCTGGAGACGGAGGGTGGGGGTGCTGCAGGACCGAGTGAGTGCGCTTCATGCCGCTGAGCTGTGCGCTTAACAATGGCTAAGATGGTAAATTTCATGTTATGTGTGTTTTATCAGAATTTTAAAAAATGGGGGCGCCTGGGTGGCTCAGATGGTTAAGCGTCTGCCTTCAGCTCGGGTCATGATCCCAGGATCCTGGGATCGAGCCCCACATGGGGCTCCTGGCTCAGCCGGGAGTCTGCTTCTCCCTCTCCCTCTGCCTCTCTCCCTGCTCATGCTTTCTCTCTCTCTCTGTATCTCTGTGTCTCAAATGAATAAATAAAATCTTTAAAAAAAAAAAAAAGAATTTTAAAAAATGAATAACAACTTCATAAAAATACTTTTTTTTTAAATGAAGGGCAGTGTTTGGTGACAGGACTCCTGGCCTGGTCTGGGGAGTTGGAAGTGCGGGAGCATGGGGTGGGGGTGCATGGAAGGGAGAGGTCAGGGGTCTGGGGACAGAGGGACCTGGGGCTACGGGCGGGGGCACATGGTCACTCACCGAGGGGCTTCCCTGTGTGGATGTCAATGACGAAGCCAGGGGCCTGGTGTCCGCACAGGATCTGGTAGTCCACTGGGCAAAGGAGAACAGGGCAGAGGGTGCTGGGGCTGCAGGCTCCTGGGGAGGACACCTCCTCCTCTTCCTGATCCCCCACCCACCGCCTCCTCCAACCCTTGCAGTGCAGCCCACATCTGGCCTCCCGATAACTAGTCCCTCTCCCCCCCACCCGCCCACGCCCGCTTTGAGCAGCAGGGGAAGGGCAACAGGCAACCACCCACCTGTGCAGCGTGATCTTCCAACACAGAGACGCAGAGATGCGACCTGGCTCATCTCTTCGCCGCATGAGTGCCACCACCCGCGCCCCACTGCCCTCCACAGAATAGGTAGACTCTTCAGTTTGGACGTCAAGACCTTCACCCCCGGGCCCTACGTCTCCAGCAGTAACTCCTGCCCTCCCATCACCCTGATGTCATTACAAGTCCGGAGATGCCCTGCTCTGCCATGCCACCACTTTGCACATGCTGGTCCCTTTGCTGTTCCCTAGCAAAGCCCACTTCAGCCTCAAGGACTCGGGGCCGCCCACGGGTGGCTCCCTGGGGCTCCCCGCTGACCCGCACCAGACACCACCTTTGGGCTCCCCCCCACACCCCCACCGGGGCAGGGCAGTGCCCCCTTGCCACCTTTCCCCAGGGGCCTGCCCTGGCCCGCACTCGCTCTTCTGTCTGCATCGTGATGAGAATGGACCCTTGGCTGGCGTGGACTCCTGCCTCATCAGAGTCTACCTGCACCTCAGTTTCAGGTGCACGAGGTCCAGGCCGGTACCTAAGTCCCAGCATCTGACCTGAGGGATGACATTTGATCTGTCAACACTCTCCTGGCCAGAGTTGGCGGTCTGCAGCTTCCTCCCAGCCTGCACAAGCTTGGGTCTGCCCCATCTTGTTTCCTAGAACCCAGAACCCTAGGAACAGCATCTGTCTCCCGGAAGTGCCCAGTAACCACCCCGTCTCCATCGCCTTGCACTGGATGGACACTCACCGCCCCCCAAGGTCGTGTCCACCCAGAACCTCCGAGTGTGACCGTTTGGGGAAATAGGGTCTTTGCAGGTGGAATCAAGATAAGATGAGGTCATCCTGGATGAGGGTGGGCCCTGAATGCAATGCCTGGTGTCCTTATAAGAAAAGGAGAGACACACAGAGCCTCGGGGATAAGATGCCACGTGAAGATGAAGGCAGAGATTGGCGACAGACACAAAGGATGCCCAGGGCCACCAGAAGCTGGAAGAAGCAAAGATGGATTCTAACCTAGGGCCTCTGGAGGGGGCATGGCCCCCTCTAACACCTGACTTCTGACTTCTAGTCTTCAGAACTGGGAGAAAATTAATTTCTGGGTTTTTTAAGCCATCGAGTTTGTGGTCATTTGTTACTGCAGCCCTAGGAAGCAAATTGTCTTAGCCAGCTTGGGCTGCTATACCAAGCACCACAGACTGGGGGGCTGAAGCAACAGACATGTATTCCTCACAGTTCCAGAGGCTGGGAGCCCAAGACCAAGGCATCGGCAGATTCGCTGTCTGGTGAGAGCCACCTCCTGGTTCACAGACGGCTGTTTTCCCGCTCTGTCCTCACGTGGGGGAGATCATCTCCCTCAGGTGTCCGCTCATCCCATTCAGGGGGGCTCCCCCCGCAGGACCTAATCCCCTCCCCCAGGCTTCACCTCCTAACCCCGCCACACTGGAGATCAGGGCTTTAACATGTGAATTTGGGGGGACACATTCAGCCCTAATACTGTAACCCCCTCATGGCCCACTCTCAGTCACTGCCCTACGCTTTCAGCGCTTTCTGATACCTGGGCTGGCTGCTACATCATTCCATTAGCTCTCATTCCAGCTGCTAGCACGGTCTGGGGCTCAGTGCTACCTCCAGGCCTTTGCTCATGCTGTTCCCTGCCTGGAACCCCTTTTCATCCCAACCAACATTTTAGCAGTCCTCCCCAGAGCTTCCCCGAGTGTGCCCCTTCCCCCACTCAAGGATCTTCACCACAAATATAGGCTTCACTGACCCCTTCTGAATTCCCCAAATCTGCAAAATAGAAAAAGGATGCTTTGCCCACCTTAAGAGTGATGATTTCCGTACCTCAACTAGGACATAACTTCAACTCCTCAGCCCTCATCGGAACAATGTAGGATGAGAGCTAATCTGGGTGCCCTAAGCAAGGTGTGCCTCCTTAAATATTGCACTAGGAAGGAGCAAGCTGGAAAGAAGGTGGGGGAGGGCACTCACAGCTGGCAGGGGTGGGGCAGGCCTCACAGGGTCTGTTCCAGGCCTGGCCAATGTTGTACGAGCAACAGCACATCTTCCGGGTCACGTTAAACGCCAGCTCATTTCCACATGTACCATTATAGTGCCGGAAGCAGATGCTCTTCCTCATGTCTGCAGTTGGGTTAGGAAGAGGAGTGTGGATAAAAGATAACCGAGCCAGAGGAAGAGAGAGCCAGATGGAATGGGAACCCATTCATGGATCCATTTGAAAATGACTGGCTTGATGTCTCTGCCCCAAGACACAGGGGGTGCCATTTAATTCTAGTTTTTTTTGGACAGTGTGCAACCTGAACAACCATACATGACAGCCCTGGGCCCCCAAATCTCACATCTTGTTCTCTGCTGCTGACCAGCAACTCATACACTCCCCCTCCCTCTCTCTACCCCCCTAAACACACCTCGCCACACTCTTCCAAAGCATGGAGACTCTGAGAAGTCCCTCCCACACCCGAGTGCTTTTCCCACAACTGTCTCCCCAATCATCACACTTTGTACCCATGCAGTTGTTGCCACCGTTGATTTGCAGGTACTCCGCGGGGCAGACACAGGTGTAGTTCCCCAGGGTGTTGTAGCAGGTACCAGGGCCGCAGATGCCCGAGTGTGCAGAGCATTCGTCGATGTCTGCAGGGGAGGGAGGGGCAGCTTCCAGGAGCTGTCTGGGTAACTCCCCACCCCGGATCTGGATCTGGTGGAGCCACTTCATTATGGGCTTGAGCTTGGTTTCAAAATTAGCTTAAAAAGTGCAGGCATCTTAGTGACATGGAAAGATCTAACATGGCATTAAGTGGGGGGGAAAAAGTTTACTGTGATCTCACCTCTATTAAGCTATTAAGAAAAAAATATGACCTGAGCCCATGAGTCAATTACATTATCACCAAGAGTTGGACAGCCGTGGGCTACCTAATGTGAGGTGACAGAAGCAGGCGCCCCATGCATCAAGTATTTTTGGAAAAAAAGGAGACTCTCAGTCTAATCAGTTTTCTAGTCCAGGAGCAACAAACTTTTTCTATAAAGGTCAGATAGTATACTTTTTTGTTTTGCAAGCTAAACAGTGGTCTCTGACACCTATTCACTCTGCCCCTGTGGTGTGAGAGAAGCCACAGACAATAGGTAAAGAAATCAGCACCTCACGCCTGGGTGGCTCAGTCGGTTAAGCGTCTGTCTTTGGCTCAGGTCCTGATCCAGGGTCCTGGGATCGAGCCCTGCATTGGGCTCTCTGCTCACCAGGGAGCCTGCTTCTCCCCCTCCCTCTGCTCTGCCCCCTGCCCCTCCATGCACTCTCTCTCTCAAATAAAGAAATAAAATCTTAAAAAAAAAAAAAAAAAGAAATCAGCATGCCTATGCTCCAATAACACTTGATTTATGGAACCTGAAATGTGAATTTCATGTCTTTTTCACATATCGGAAAATATTCTTCTTCTTTTGAATTTTTTCAACCACTTAAAAAATGTAAAAAGCATTCGTAGCTAGTGGGCCAGGCAAAAGCGGGCAGCAGAATATTAGCATGCTGGGAGTGGCATCCCCAAAGAGGGCAGAGTAAGGATGGCCAGCCTCCATTCCTACAAAAACTAATCAGTTGGCAAAAACTAACAAAATCTACCCCTGAAACAAATAATACATTATATGTGAATAAAAAATTTAAAAAAAAAAACTGACAAAATCAACTTTTGCAGAACTCTGGAATCCAGGCAAAAACTTACAACAACCATGCGACCTGATGTGTAACATATCCTAAAGAACACACAACACAAAGGGGAACCTGGCTGGCTTAGTTGGTGGAGCATGCAACTCTTGATCTCAGGGTTGTGAGTTCAAGCCCCACGTGAGTGTAGAGATCACTTAAAAATAGTATCTTAAAAAAAAAAAAGGAATCCACAAAACAAAAACTATTAGAGCTAATTAATAAGTGAGATCAATATAATTGCAGAATATAAGACCAACCCAAAAATATATCAGCTGTATTCCTGTATCCTGTCAGTGAGCAAGCGGAAAGGAAACTTTAAAAAATTCTGCTTATAATAGCGTCCAAAAAAGTAAATGCTTAGGAATAAGTTTAACCAAAGAGGTGCAAGAGTTGAATACTGAAAACTACAAAGCATCACTGCAAAAAAATTAAAGAAGACGTACAGCAATGGAAAGACCCTCTGTGTACATGGGTCAGAAGATTTAACAGTTAGAATGGCAGTAGTCGCCAAAGCAATTTCCAGTTTCAATGCAACCCCCATCAAAATCCCAATGACTTCATTTTGCTGAAAGGGAAAAGCTGATCCTAAATTCATATGGAATTGCAGGGGACCCCGCCTACCCAAAGCCACCTTGGAAAAGGAAAAACAAAGTTGGAGGGCTCATCCTCCCCAATTTTGAAACTTGCAATGCTCCAGTAATCAGGACAGTGGGGTGCTAACAGAAGGCTAGACATATAAATCAATGGAATAGAATCGAGAGTCTAGAAAGAAACTGTATGTCATGAGGTTTTCAACAGGGGAGCCAAGACCATTCAATGGGGGAAAGAGTCTCTTCAACAAGTGGTGCGGGGACAATTGGATATCCACATGCAAAAGAATGAATTTTGATCCCTCCCTGACAACATATAAAAAAGTTAGCTCACAATAAGTAGGAAACCTAAATGTAAGAGCTAACATGGTAAAACGCCTAGAAAAGACATTTCCTGTATTTGGCGATGGATTCTACATGACACCAAAGCCACAGCTATGGAAGAAAAAAAAAAAACAGATAAATTGGGCTTCATCAGAATTAAAGCCTGTTGTGCATCCAAGGAGACCATCAAGAAAGTGAAAAGACAACCACAACTACAACTACAAAATGGGAGAAACTATTTGCAAATCATAGGTCTGATAAGGGTCTTTTATCCAGAATATATAAAGAGCTCTCACAACTCAACAACAAAAAGACAAACAACCCCATTTAAAAACGGGCACAAGATATGAACAGACACTACTCCAAAGATATATGAATGACTAACAAGCACATGGAAAGATGCTCATTAGTCATTAGTCGTCAGGGAAATGCAGAGCAAAACCACAATGAGATGCCACCTCACACCCACTAGACAGTAGAACTTTGAGCAATGGAAAATAGCAGTGTTGATGAGGATCTGGAGAAACTGGGGCCCTTGCACATTGCGGGTGAGCACGTAAAACAGAAAACAGCTTGGCAGTTCCTCACACAAAACAGAATAATCCATAGAATCACCATATAACCCAGCGATTCCAGGAGGGAGACCTACCATTCGACAAGCTACAGCTACAGAACTCGCCCAGTGCAAAATGAAGACTGGGGCTTCCTTGTCCAAGATACATGAAGAATTTCAAGATGGCGACAGCAAAGGATTAAGCCAAGTGTGGGCCCTTTGGAGAACAGGGTCCTGTGCTACTGTACAAGTCCCATCCCTTGAGTCTGACTGCTGGGAAGGGCTGAAAGGACTGCATCCCTCAAGCACACTGCTGGTCCTGCAAGGCTGCACATCCAAGGTCAACATTCAGGTTCAAGTCTGCCGGCCCTGTGACCTTTATTTGTTGATGGGACCTTTTTTTTTTTTAAAGATTTTATTTCTTTATTTGAGAGAGAGAGAGAGACAGAGCAAGAGTAGGGGGAGGGGCAGAGGAAAAGGGAGAGGGAGAAGCAGACTCCCCGCTGAGAGCTCAATGCGGGGCTCGATCCCAGGACCCTGAGATCATGATCCGAGCCGAAGGCAGATGCTTAACTGACTGAGCCACCCAGGTGGTGTCCCAGTAGGGCCTTTCTCTTTCTCCCTTGATATCCTAAGGGACGGGGAGGTAGAGAGTAATGAAGTATATTTCAAGTATTTGGGTTCTGATTCTTGAAGGTATGACAGCTTCCAACTCCATGTACAATGGCAATCAGTGTCTTGATCTTAGATCTGTCCCTTCCTTCCCCATTTCCTTGCGTTTCTAAACAGCACTGCTCTGAGAAAAAGACACATATCCCATCCTCGTGTGCTAGTGTCGGTGTCTGGCTGCATGTAGACATTCAATTAATATTGTTGAAAGGGGGAGAAAGAATGAATTGGTGGATGGATGGATGGATGGATGGATGGAAGGGATGGATGAATGGATGACTAGGTGGACGGATGGATAGAGGGATGGATGGATGAATAGAGGGAGGGAGGGAGGGAGGGATGAATGGATGGATGGATACACAGAGGGCAGTATGGATGAATAAGTAGATGGGTGGATGGATGGATGGATGGATAGATGGATGGAAGGGATGGATGGATGGATGGATGACTAGGTGGATGGATGGATAGAGGGATGGATGGATGAATAGAGGGAGGGAGGGAAGGATGGAAGGATGGATGGATGGATGGATGGATGGATGGATGGATGGATACACAGAGGGAAGTATGGATGAATAAGTAGATGGGTGGATGGATGGATGGATGGAAGGGATGGATGGATGGATGACTAGGTGGATGGATGGATAGATAAGAGGGATGGATGGAAAGATGGATGGATGGATGGATGGATGGATGGATGGATGGATGGATGGATGGATAGATGGATGGATGGATGGACTCACGGACTTGGATACTGCATTGGAAGAGCTCAGACTCAAGGACCAGAATGGCTGGGTTGGGGCGCCTGGGTGGCTCAGTCCTTAAGCATCTGCCTTTGGCTCAGGTCATGATCCCAGGGTCCTGGGATCGAGCCCTGCATCGGGCTCCCCGCTCCACGGGAAGCCTGCTTCTCCCTCTCCCACTCCCCCTGCTTGTGTTCCCTCTCTCGCTGTGTCTCTCTCTGTCAAATAAATAAAAATAAAGTCTTAAAGAATGGCTGGGGGTGCCTCTGGACAAGTCACTTAATCTCCCTGAGCCTTAGTTTCTGCATCTGAAAAATGGGATCATAAAAGGAACATCCCCCTCATGGGGCTGTTGCGGTGAATGAACAGATGACAACGGAAGATGCTCGGTGCAGTGGTGACACACAGTCTCAGACTCCAGGTACCTGCTGGCCGTTACTACGATGCACAAAGGAGAGCGGGAAGGAGGCAGGTGAAGCGCTGCTTGAAGGAGCAATGTAGCTACTCCCTCTGTGTCTATCCCTTCCCACTCCCAGTGCTGGGCCTGAGTCAGCTTTTGCCCCAAGGAGGGAAGGCGTAGCTGCTATAACAAAGCCAGGCCATTTCTGCACACGTAGGAAGTCAGAGGGAGGCAGCAGAGCAGAGGGCAGCCAGAGGGATTCCAAGGAAGCCTTCCCCACCTCCCGATGCCCACCCCCCCCCCCACTTGCAGCAAGGCAGGTGAGCTGGCCCCTAAGGGCATTTTAGGCCCCAGCACCTGAGGAGGGAGGTGCCACTAGGGAGGAAAGTGGGGTGGGGGGGAGGGTGCATACTCACCCTCACAAGTGCGGGTGTCCCCATTGAGGTGGTAGCCAGGGGGGCATGCACACTGGAAGCTGCCGAACGTGTTGCCACAGTCGCCCCCCGGACACAGCCCAGGCAGCTCCTGGCACTCATCAATGTCTGTCAGGAAGCGAGGAAGCCGTGCTTGGAAGCTAAGCCTAAGCAGAGGCCTCGGGGGACACCGACACCCTGCCTGGGCTTTCCGGGGCCCCAGAGGAGAGCCAAGCTGTTTCTTCGAGAATACCTGAGAGCTGTTGGCTATCTGGAGGGTTCAGGCCAGGGCCTATCTTGGAGGCTGCACCTAGACTCTTTTGGGCCAGTGTCACCCTGAATTCATCCCCTTTCTCTTCATTTCCTAGTCCATCCTCCCATCCATCCAAACCATCCATCCATCCATCTATCCAACCATCACATAGTTCCCCCTGGATGGAACTCTCCAATCTTATCTTCCCCTGTATATAAAAGGATGGATGGATGAGGGGCGTCTGGCTGGCTCAGTTGGTAGTCAATACTCTTGATCTCGGGGACATGAGTTCAAGCCCCACTTTGGGCATAGAGCTTACTTAAAAAAAAGAATGGATGCATGGACGGATGGATGGGTCACTGGATAGGTGACTACATGGATGGATGGATGAATATAAAAAATAGTGGATGAATAAGCAAGTGGGTCAATGACAAGATGAATGAGTGGATGAATGGATGGATGGATGGATGGATGGATAGATGGATGGACAGATAAGTGAGTGGATGGATAAATGCATGTATGCACAGAAGACAGGAAGGGAGGGAGGGAGGGAAGAACGAATAAAGGATGGAAGATTTATGAATGAGGAATGGATGGATGGGTAGACGACTGGATGGGGGGATGGGGGATTATGTGTGTGTGGATGGATGGAGGGAAGGAAGGATGGGTGAGTGGATGGGTGGATGGATAGATGGGTGGGTGGGGGATGAATAGATGGATGAGTGGAGGATGGATCAATAAACCAACAGGTGGAAGAAAAGGTAGGTGAAAGAAAAAACAAAAAATTCACCACACACTAAGAAAGTTTAGTCTCACAGCCTGACCTCACGGCAGGAGGATGTGGGGCCCCCACAACCGCACTTTGGTGAAGTGGCGCTGAGAGGAAGGTCAATCAGTGGGTACGTGGGTGGATGGTCTGCCAGGAACTCACCTTCCAGGATGACAGTGATGGGGTTTGGCCGGAAGCCCTCGCCCCCGGGGCACAAGGTTCTGTACTCAGCTGTAAGGGAAACAGGTTCTTCTGAGGGGCTGTGGGGAGGGGCATTTAGGCAAGGCGAGGAGGGGAGGCAGGGGAGTTGAGGTCCCCTACAAAGGGCTCCAGGATGGGGGCCCTGCATCCCTCTCCTACACCAACTATAAACCCTATATCTCAGCCTCTTGGAGCCAAGAGACCTTGGCCAATCTGGGAGGAGGGGACGGTGTGCATGCACAAGTGTGCGTGCACATGTGTGTGTAAATGTGTTCACATTCAACACGTGAACAGATGCACTGGGTGCTAGTAGCTGGGAGTAGAGAGGGGCAATTTCTTCTGACCTAAAACCAGACCAGTGTGACTGCAAATTTCCCCCGTTGAAAGAAAGACCCTGGACATCATAGATACACACACACACACACACACACACACCTGAATAGGTGGACAGGTGTGTGAACCTGAGGCCTTTGCACATGCTATTCCCACTGCATTGCACACCCTTCCCCCTGCTCTACTTGGAAAACTCCTGCTCATCCTTCCAAACCTCATTTAAGCCCCTTGTCCTGGGAAGGCTTCCCTTACCCTCTTCCTCTCCACGGCCATCACTGAGCCTCAAGCAAACCCTTAGAATCGCTCTACTCCCACAGCCCAGGGACCACCGGTTTATGGGTGTGAGGCAGTGTGTAGGGCTGTGGTTCATCCTTCTCTGGGTCCCCAGCCCCTTGCGCAGCACACAGAGGAACTCTCGGTGTTTGCTGCCTGACTGAGGAAGCAAGTGAATAGAAACACACAGAGAATTTGCCAGACGGGACGGCAGAAAGAGACCTCGAGAGAGGCACAGCCGATGAACTACCAAGAATGTGCTCTGTGACCCAGGGCAGCCCCTCTCCCTCTCTGGTTCTCAGGGTCCCTCCCGTAGCAAAGACGACCCCGTGAGTCCTGGGGCGTGCTCGCCTGTGTCCCCCCACCACTGGACTCACTGGTGTTGGCCATCGGGCATGGTTCACAGGGGTTGCCCCAGGCCCGTCCCAGGGAGCAACAGCAGGATGCGCGGGTGATGCCAACCCCGATCTCCACAGTGCAGGAAATGCCACCGTCCCCTCGGTCATGCGTGTCCAGGAAGCAGTTCCCGACCCGGGTGTCTGAACAGGCAGAAAGGGGCAGTTAGCAAGTGGTATGCCCTGCTCACCTACCATGGGCGCCCCAGTGGGAGCCGAGGCTTACTCACCCACACAGCCCACGCCGCTGGGGTTCAGCTCAAAATCCTGGGGGCAGCTGCAGAGGTAGCTTCCGGGGGTGTTGATACACAGGCCACTGATGCAGTTCACGGGGTCTGCGCACTCATTGACATCTGTGGAGTGCGGGGGGGTGCCGTCAGCAGGGAGCCCTCCCTTGACCCCCTTCCCTCCCACCTTCCTCCTGGGAAGCTGAAACCCTCAATGTCGGATGTGGGGCTGTGGGGCGAGGCCATGTCCTCCCCTGGGAAGAAAGCCCGAGGGGACAGCAGCCTGTAGGGGCTGCCCTGCCCAGTCCAACCCCATCTCCTCCCGGCTCTGTTCCACTTGGCACAGAGGTTTGCCCCTTGAAAGTTCCCTGTGTCCTGGCTTCCACGCAGCTATCGTACAAAGCCGACACTTGGAACATGCTTTCAAACCAGGGGTTGGCAGACTCTTATCTGTGGGCCAAATCCGGCCCCCTGCCTGTTTGTGTAAATAAAGTTTTATTGGCACACACCCACGCCCACTCATTTACATACTGCCTGTGTCTGCTTCCAGGCTACAAGGCACCTGAGTAGCTGTGACAGAGACTGTATGGCTGGAAAGCCATACATTTCCTATCTGGTCCCTTACTGGAAGAGTCCGCTGACCCCCGTTTTAGGCACATAAGTAGGTGACCATTTTGACAACTGTAGTGGAGGGAGCACACCTTTGTTCATTCACTGCATTTATTCAGGCGATGAGAGATGACAGGTTGATGGGAACAGGGATCAGTGGGGGCGCTGCTAGGGACGGGGGGTCAGATAAGCCCCCCCAGAACAGGACATTGGAGAAGAGGTCTGAGGGCAGGGAGGCGGGGAGCCCGGCGCCCTCCCCACCCACAGCCTGGCTGACCCCATACCCGTGCAGTTGACCCCACCGCGGTCCAGCTCGTAGCCCCCACTGCAGACACAGCGGAACATTCCGGGCAGGTTCTCGCAGCTCCCGAACACGCAGAGGTTCCCGAGGACACACTCGTCCACATCTGTGGGGACCCCAGGTCAGCCCGCCTCGCCCGGCAGCCTGCTCCTGCTGCATCCCCCAGCCCAGCAGCCCCAGGCCTCACCCCGGCAGGCGCGGTGGTCCTCCGTGGGGCTGAAGCCCATCTCACACTCACAGCGGTACCCGCCGGGGGCATTGAGGCACTGCCCGTTCTCGCAGAGGTCCACGTCCTCGGCACATTCGTCCCTGTCTGTGGGACCCCGAGAGGCAGAGGGCTGGGGGCCAGCTGGCCAGGACTCATGCAGGGTGGGCAGGGGGCCCCAATCAAACCCTTCGTGGTCACCCAGGGTTCCAGGGACTCAGGGAGACAGGGGACCTGGTGACCCGGGCCCCGGGTGGAGGGTCCCGGGAAGTAAGCCAGTGTTCCTGCTCCCCACATCCCAAAGGCTCCGTGCATCCAGAGTCCAGGGCAGAAGACCGCCCCCAGTGACGCTGGGCCTGGCCTGAGGCCCCACAGGCTGAAGGCGCATCCTCTCCAGCACCCCAGCGTGTGGTGTGGGCGGTGGATCGGGGTGAGTCGGGAAGCCCACTGACCACTGTGACCCCCTCGGAATCCAGCCCCCATGGCTGTCCCTCTCGGGCCCCCCCCCCCCCGCCCTCACCTTCACAGGAGAAGCCGTCCCCGGTGAAGCCGAGGCGGCAGATGCAGCGGTAGGAACCGGGAGCGTTCAAACAGTCAGCTCTCAGGCTGCACCAATGCTCTGGGAAGGCACACTCATCCAGGTCTGCACGACACGGAGCCCGGAGCCCCCGAAGTGTGTGCATTGGGGGGCTGCAGGGAGGCAGACCCTCCGATCTCAGCCCTGACCGGCCCCCACAGACACCCCTGGGCCCGGCCACCCCCGCCCGCTCCCCCACCTGCCCCCAACCTACCTCCACTGCTCTGCCCAGACCGCCTGCCCCTGGGGCACTCACCGTGACATGCGAAGCCATCCCCCACCCAGCCTGGCTGGCACCTGCAGCTGAAACTCCCAGGGACGTTGAGGCAGGAAGCGTGACTGTCACAGCTGTGTCCCCCAAGCTCACACTCGTCCACATCTGCGAGGAGAGGAACCCGGTCGCAGGAGGGTCAGGACCAGGAGAGGGAAGGAGGACACAGCACCCCCACAAGGCCCGGGCCTCGTAGAGGTAGGGCCTCGGGTGCAGAGCGCGGAGAGAGTGCAGCAGCAGGGAAGAAGCAAGGACCCTCCTGGGGGAGGGCTGGCCCAGAGAGCCCCCTCCCCTCTCCAGGAGCTTCCACCTTCACCCAGAGCCCAGGAGAAAAACCCCAAAACCCAAAAGGCACGACTCCCCGCAGCCCTCTGCAGTGGTCTGAAATTGCAGCTGGAGAGACTTAGGGTAGACCCTAAGAGTAACCGTCCTAACACAGATGGCCTTGCTCTAAAGCAGGATTTCTTCTAAACCAGAGTTTCCGATCCTCAGCCAAGTCTGAAGTCGGCTTCACCCTTATCATCTCTGCAACGTTCATCCACCACCTACGTGAGCTACTGGTTACTGAACGTTTCTTTACATACTTGCGCTGTTACTGTTGCAATGTATTTTAAAAGCTAATTTTCCATCAACAACAGTCTCTAAAGTCATGGACTTGAGGCTGCTTTGTGACGTGGGATTCTAACCCACATTCAAATAACCACATAACTGTATTTTTGTGTCCTCCAAAAAGGTATGTTCAAATCCTAATTCCTGGAACCTGTGAAGCGGACCTTACTGGGAAACGTAACCAAGTTAGGATTGGGTCATCCTTGGCCTTAATCCAATGACTGACATCCTTATAAGAGGGAAATTCGGACGCAGGCACAGACAGAACTGACGTGAAGACAGGGAGACAGAGTGGAGTGACACATTTATGAGCCGAGAAACATTGAGGACTGGCGACCACCCCCAGAAGGGGGCAGAGGCACGGGACAGATCCACCCCCCCAGACCCCCAGGAAGGAGCCAAGCCTGCCCACACGCTGACTGCAGATTTCTGGCCTCCAGAACCGTTCTTGAGAGAGAATACACTTCTGTGTGTGTGAGCCACCAGGCTGGGAGAAATTTGTTATGACAGCCCTAGGCACCTAAACCGATGACTACGGAACTGCTGAAATGTTCGCCCCCGTATCACTCAAAGTCATCAGGTTGGCTTCTTTGGGGACACTGCCGGGGATGCCTGGGGCTGCAGAGCTATGTGCCAAGGGGAGCCCTGGGGTTGCCTGGCCGGGTCTGGTTCCCGCTTTAACCCAAGACCGCACCCGTGGGAATCTGGAAGAATGAGGTCTGGCTGTGCTCAGCCCCGAGGGGTGGGGCAGACTGCAGGACCCCCGACTGCCAGCTCACCGAAGCAGCCCGTGGCCCCCTTCCTGATGATGTAACCCGGGCGGCAGTGGCAGACAAAGGAACCTTTTGTGTTCTCACAGTGCCCGTGGAGGCAAATGTGGGGGCTCAGGTCACACTCGTTCACGTCTGTGGGAAGACGAGAGAGGAAGCAGGTGAGGGTGGAGGGGGTGCGCGAGCGTGGCTGAGTGCCCTGCCACATGAGGACCCCCCCCATGCTGAGGCTCTGCCGGCCCATCTCCAGGATCGGGGAGCTCCCTCTGGTTCCACCACTGGGCAACCAGGAGGTCCTGTCGGCATGTGACAGAGCGTGTTCTGTGGTACATATCGGGCATGTGTTCCCAAAAGGATTTTGTGGCCGAATACATTTAGAGCACACAGAGCTAAGTGAAGCTGGTCAGATTTTCCTCCTACAGGCCTTGTCCGAGGCTTTATGCCAACGTGGATCTGCAGGAAGGGCATGGAACAGTAAAAGCATCCCGGTTTGATTTGATCCGAGGTGCTGCAGTATTCCTAAGGCTCCCTGCGATCGGGACCCTAAGCTGCACTGGGTGGGACTTGTCTTCTTCGGGGGGGGGGGGGAGTTACACTTCTCCTGCCTGCAACTTCCCCACTCGGGCCCTAGCCCTGCCTTGAGGGGGCGGGCACCTGCTCCCCGGGCCCTGGGACGCCCCACAGCCAGGACGGGACGGTGACCATGGCCTCAGCAGACCGAGGTCCCCAGGCAGGGCTCAGGAAACAGTTCAGAGCGCCTTTCCCATTTTGCTCACCCTGTTACGCATAAAGCGCCTCGGTGTGCAGGTATCTTAAAATGCAGCCCTGGGAGGGGCGCCTGGGTGGCTCAGTTGGTTGGGCGACTGCCTTCGGCTCAGGTCATGATCCTGGAGTCCCGGGATCGGGTCCCGCATCGGGGTCCCTGCTCGGCAGGGAGTCTGTTTCTCCCTGACCCTCCTCCCTCTCGTGCTCTCTGTCTCTCATTCTCTCTCTCTCAAATGAATAAATAAAATCTTTAAAAAAAAAAAAATGCAGCCTTGGGAGCGGGGTGTGAAGCTGTGTGCGTACCAGGTACACAGGGAGTGGTCGGCGGACGTGCTCAAAGTGCAAGTTTCGGGGTATCTGCTGCTCTGAATGAGACCCCACAGGCCCTGGCGCGTGGCAGTCGGCTGAGGGCACCAGCGCCTGCTGCAAAGCCTGTCCCCCCTCCCTGCATGCGACAGGGAAGTGGCCTGGTGTCTGTCTGGCCCATGTGCTTCCCTGTGCGTGAGCCCAGATGCTGTCTCCTGCACCCCCCAGTCCCGGCTCCTCACCAACACACGTCCTCCCGTCCAGCGTGGCCATGAAGCCGTCATAGCATAAGCAGTGGTGGTCCCCTGGCACGTTGGCACACTGGCCCCCGTCACAGATGTCCGGGTTCTCCGCACACTCATCCACGTCTGGGGGAGCAGGGGGGGTGCTGGGCTGTAAGCAGGCAGGGACAGAGGGGGAGCCCCAGAGACCCTGCCACAGGGTCAGTGGCCTGTCCCCGGTCTGGCTGGCTTCACCTGGGCCGGGCTCGGTCGGTTCCCCCATGCCACACACCTGCACACGCCCTCCCGTCGGGCATCAGTGAGTAGCCACGGCCGCAACCACAGTGGTAGCTGCCCTCCGTGTTCGTGCAGTGCACGTCACAGCCACCATTCCCAGCATGGCATTCGTTTATGTCTGCGGGAGGCAGGGCAGAGGTGGAGGGGCAGGGCCAGGGGGTGGGGCCAAGCATGGGGCTGACGGCGGCGGCGGGGAAGGACTGGTGATGGGGCTGGGGTGGCCGGCGGGGGCTGGGGGCCCCCCCTGGGTGGGGCAGGTGGGCCTGGTCTCACCCATGCAGCCCTGGTGGTCAGGCGTGTTCTGGAAGCCAGCGTGGCAGGAGCATTGGAAGGTCCCAATGACGTTGACACAGTGGCCGTGGGGACACAGGCCGTCACTCAGGGAACACTCGTCGACATCTGCGGGGGGAGCATGTGGCTGGTGGGGGCTGGGTGTGAGCGGATGGCCGACTGGGACTCTTCTGCCATCGACGTGTCCCCGAGACACACACGCATAAACACATCTTTGCATGGACACACTCTTCCTGGACAGACACACACCCACACTCAAATACACACTCACATCCCTTTGCCCGCTCAGAAGACTCACAAACACACCCGATATGCACACACTCACCCTCAGCAGATGCACATCCACACGCAGACTCACGCACCCATGTGCACGTTCATGTGGGCTCACACACACCCTCACACCCACTCACGTGCAAACACAATCGTCCTCAGTGGACACACACACACAGATTCACACCACGTGCACTCATACGGACTCACAAACACACCTCTCACCCATACTTGCCTTTGTGTGAACACACACCCAGAGGCACACACACAGACCCACACACAAACACACCCTCGGACCCCTGCACCTGCAAACACCCTCACCCGCGAGCAAATACACATGCACGCTCAGACACGCACGCTCTCTCTCGCAAGCTCATGTGGACTCCCACACACCCACTCACACACTCACTCTTGTGTAGGCACAGATACACACCTACACCCTGACACACGCATGCTCTCTGGTCTTGTGCGTGCAACCTCGCACACGCACCGACGTACACTGACACACGCGCGCACACTCACATGCAGGTACCTCGTCAGACGTGCACAGACACACATTTGCACTACTACACGCACGGCACCAACGCAGGCGGCACGCTCACCCTCACAGGCGGTGCCCTGGGCCGTCTGCGCATGTCCAGGGGGGCACTGACACGTGTAACTCCCCTCTGTGTTGGTGCAGGTACCTCCCCGGCACAGCAGCGGGTCCCGCACACACTCGTCCACGTCTGGGCATGTGGAAGAGAGAGCAGCTGTGAAGACGCGGGCGGGGCCGGTGTGCTGTGGCTTGTGGAAGCTTCTCCCTGCAGTCCCCGGCCCCGTCACCCTGGCGCTGCCCAGGAGAGCCTGGAGGCTTGGGGCTCAGTTGACCCAGCAGAGACTGAGCTGAGGAGCAGGGACAAGTCAGCCCAAGAAGGAAGCTGGGATTCTCAGGAGGGTCAGGGCCACGAGGCTGACGGTCCTGGAGTTACTGAAGGAGCCCCTGAGAAGCCACCCTGTAGGACACAGGGGGAAGGCAAGGTCCAGTCTCCAGGCACCGGTGTGGGGAGCAGGCTGTCGCACCACCCTCCTCAAGCTCCAGTCTCGTGTACCTCTTTCCACCCCTCTGGCCCACCCCAGGGCCTTTGCACCTGCTGTTCTCCCTTCAGGCTGATATTCCAACCCCTCTTCACCACATTCAGTCCCACTCTCTCAGCCACAACGCCAAGCCCCCCAGAACAGGACATCCCTGGCAACCACACCCCACCCCACCACGTGGCCCTCTCAGGCGCTTCTCACAGTGGCTGTTTTGCATGTCTCTGGGAATTCATTTTATTAACAGGTGTCTCCCCATCAGGTCATGAGCTCTGAGAAACTGGCTGTCTGCTACTGACCTCTTGGTGGTTCATAAAATGTTCACTGAATGAATAAAAAAGGGAAGGAAGGAAGGAAGGAAGGAAGGAAGGAAGGAAGGAAGGAAGGAAGGAAGGAAGGAAGGAAGGAAGGAAGGAGGGAAGAGCGCTCCTCTCTCTAGGGCCCTTCTCCTCTTCTCACACGACACCTGCCCTGGGAGAACTCACCCAGAGCTCGGTCCCTAGGCCTCAATTCTGCGTGACAGACCCGCTGGTCGGCTGCCTTTGGGGAGGCCACCGCGCAGCACCCAGATTCGCTGGGTCTCGGCTGGGTCTCAGCTTCTCCCCACACCTGTCCTTCCCACCTCATCCATCACACAACGTCCCCACCACCCCTCCCCTCAGCCCCAACACCCGCCAGGCATCGCCCTGCCCAGGGCCACCCTGCACGACGGTCCCGCAGCCACCTACCCACGCAGTTCTTCATCAGCATGAAGTCACTGTCATAGCCACGGAAACACTCGCACTCAAAGCTGCCCGGCGTGTTGACACAGGTGCCCTGGCCGCAGAGGTCAGGGGAGATGTGGCACTCGTCAATGTCTGCGGAGAGAGGGGCAGGGGCCCGGCCTCCACGGCTGTAGACAGCGGGGGCTGGGTGGGAGCCTGAGCTACCGGAATGAGCCCTGGGGGGGGAGCGGGGCGGCACACACCAGCCAACAGCAGGGAATTTCCTCCCTGGAGGTCCCCTCTGCCAGCCCCTCCTTCTACTGGGGTCCCTAAGGGCCAGAGAGGGCAGCCTGCCCTGGGGCACACCGCTGGCTAGCAGGCAGGACAAGAGGTGCCCAAAGAAGAGGGGTCTTGACTCCACATGTGCTTTGAAGCCCCCATTCCCACAGGCGTCCCCCCCCCCGGAGGCCGAGGTGGGTCCGTACCTGTGCAGTTCCTCCCCTGAGCATCCAGGGCGAAGCCCCCCGCACAGGAGCAGTGGAAGCTGCCCACGGTGTTCCTGCAGGTGCCGTGCACGCAGAGGCCGGGGAACGCCTTGCACTCATTCACATCTGCGGTCAGGAGCATAACGTGTGGCCGGTCAAACACCTCCAGTGTCCCTGGGTTTGCTCCCGAGACGTCACGGCTCTCCCTGCAGACACTCTGCGCTCTCCCCAGCGCACTTCCCACCTCCAGGCCTGCGCTTCTGCTGTGCCCTCTCCCCGCCCTGCGGGCTCCCAGTGCCCCCACACACCTCTATAGAAGGGCTGGCCTGACAGCAAGTCCCAGCTGGCGAAGCCCGGCCCCCGGGGACACAGGCTGGCAAACGCCGGGGACGTGCGCTCTGGGCACGCCTCACACGCAGCCCCCCAGGCGGCCCCCACGGAGCAGCAACAGATGTCCATCTGGTACTTGCCGGGCAGGGCGACCCCACACTCGTCCTCGTCCCAACGCAGGAAACACGGCTCCAGGCGCATGTCTACACAGAGGGACAGGCACCTGGTTTCCCCCTGACCCCGGCCATGCCGCGCCTGCTGCCACGTGGGCAATTCAGTCTTCCTCAGCAGCATCTGTCTGACACGCCCTCCCCAGTAGGAAGAGTGCAGGGGGAGTGACTTCTTTTTGCTGACCCTCGGTGTCATCCAGCGGTGACATTTTAATGGCAATAACTTGTCCTGCTAAGGGGCTTGCTATGTGCTGGGCGCCGTCCTCAGCTCCTCAACCCATTTAATCTTCAAAATAACACCAAGACGAACCTCTTATGGTCACGTCCATTTTACAGGCAAGAAAACCGAGGCACAGAAGGGTTAGGTGGCTTGCCCGAGGCCACACAGTTAGCAAAAGGCAGAGCCGCGTTCACACCAGGCCATCTGGCTCCAGACCGTGTGCTTAATCTGTAAGACTCCCTCAGAACAACCTGACAGCAGATAAGCCTCCCTCGAGACCAGACACAAGGGTCTAAGACAGGGGCCACTGACTACAGCCCGGGGGTGGCTGCCTGTCTTTATAAATAAAGTTTTATGGACACACAGCCATATCACCTTACTTCCGTATTGTCTGTGGCTGTTTTTGTGTTACACGATAGAGCTCAGTAGCTGCAACAGAGATTTGTGTGGCCCGAAAGCCAAAAATACTAACCCTGGCCCTTTGCAGTAAAAGTTTGCTGACTGCTGGCCTAGGACAATTTCTCTCTCTTTACAAAAGGAACACACATTTAGGCGGGTCGATTTGAAGATGAGACCCTGTTCTAGAACCTCGAGAACCTCTGGGAGCCCTGTGACAGACACAGAGATCCTTCCCTGTACCCAGTGCCCTGGTTCGGGCTAATGGTCCCATCTGAGAGGACGGGGCTGCAGTCGGAGCCTCCCCGTTCACCTGGCCCTGATTTTGGCACATGGGGCCTGAGATGTAATGGCTTTTTTCTCTTTACTCGGTTACTTCCTTTCCTTGGTTACATTTTGGGGCTAGGGGTGGGAGACCCACTGCACGCCTAAAACTTGGTTCAGAAGGTAAGCAACGTTGAAAAGGAACCTACAAGAAGGCTCCTAGCCAACTGCAGGAGGAAACTGGACGGCAGACAGAGCCCCGTCTGCTGCCTGAGATACGCTTTTGGCCAAGAAATGTCTGCTTCAAGATGTTGACCAAGAAACCCTCACCGAGGAGGAAAACATCTCTGATCTCTGAGCCTGAGGGGGAGCCATTCAGAGGGAGCGTTTGAGCCCCGGATGCTGAGGGAGATTCCAGGCATGCTAAGAGTGCCTGGTGAGCAGATCCACCCTGAGTCAATACTCTTTGGTAACGAGAAAGAATAAATAAAAGTTGCAGATGCTATTTCACAAGATCTTACCATGCGCGCTGAGCCTCGTTAAAGGGCAGGGAAGTGAAAGGGTGAACCCCGAAAATAAACAAGGCCCTCTTTTGAGACATGTCAGCAAGAGATGATCAGGGAGCAGAGGGTCCTGGAGGTCTCGCCAAATCCCTTCTGTCCCCAGGAGGGGTCTCCAGGCACTGGGGTGGGGGCAGGGGACAGAGGGCAGGGGGCCCCGCACGGACTCACCCACGCACAGCCGGCCCGTGGTGTCCAGTGTCAAGCCGTCGGGGCACACGCAGCGGAAGGAGCCAGCAGTGTTGAAGCAGTGCCCATTGGGACAGACCCCGGGGAAGACCTCGCACTCGTTCACATCTGGGCAGGGACAGAAAAGGAGGAGGGGCAAGGGCTGGAGCTGCTTCCCTGGGGGCTCAGGACTCCCAGGGTGTCCTTGGGGAGGTGGGAAGGAACAGAGCCAGCCTCGGGGCCTGGGGAATCTCGGGGGAAGACCTGGGAACCGAGGAGGGAGAATCTCTGTCTCGGTCTCAAAAGACTTCAGGAGCCCAGGCATCCCCCACGACGTTCAGCTGTCCGTGTGCAACTCAGGGGGAGGCGTGAACTACAGAGGGGAAGGGAGTTACCTTCACAGGTGAGCCCCGTCATGCGGGCAAAGCCACGGGCACAGGCAGGGTCTGCGGTTGGGAGAACCAGAGTGGGGACAGGAGTCACTCTCTCCATCCAGAGCCCCGTTCTCTCAATAGGCACCCAGGCAACCACGGTGGCCATGCCTGGGTGGTCCCCAAGAGCTCACGCGGGGGGGGGGCTCCCAGGGCATTACCGGGCTCACAGCGTTCGCAGGGGCTCCCCCAGGCAGCGCCCAGGGTAGCACAGCACTCGGACCGCAGGGGGGCTCCGCGCAGGTTCGCTTCACAGCGGCCCTCCTGCACCTTGAGCCAGCAGGTGCCCTTGGTGCTATCTACGGGGGAGGGGGTGACCCAGTTCACCCGCCAGCCGACCCACAGAGACCCAGCCTTCCCCAGGGTGGGATGCAGGGCTGGGCAGCAGGGTCCCTGCTACTCCATGGGACTTGGGGCCCTCTCACCGAGGCACATGGTGCCAGAGGGCCCCAGCCGGCTGCCAGGGGCGCATTCGCAGGCATAGGAACCAGCCAGGTTCCGGCACGCGCCATTGACACAGGGGTTGGACAGGCACTCGTTGATGTCTGCAAGAACAGCCCCCCACTGGGTCCTGAGCTGTGGGAGGGGGAGCCCCAGCTGACCAGGGCCCCCCTCCTCCCCAGTGGCTGCCAGGGTCCAGTGGCATAGGATGCACACCAGGCACATGCATGTCCATGCGTGTCCTTGACCAGACAAGGCACACGCATGCAGGCAGGCTGCCCAGGAATGGAACATGCAGATACCAACGCACGTGTGCTTGCACTGAGTTGCACTGGACGCCCATGCAATCGAGCTGACATGCAGGATCCTGTGAGCACACACCCATGACCGATGTGGAGGGACAGACACAGTGTGGAACAGAGACCTTCAAGGGGGTCTTGGCACACGAGAGGATGAGAGTGAGAGGCAGGAGGAAAGCCCAGAGAGGACAAGGGCTGGATGTGACTGGGGAACAGGTAGATGCAGCGGCTGAATGGAATGGGGTCTGGGGAGGGACACGTGGGGGACAGAAGTTACTCAGGAGTAGGGCGAGGTGGGTGTGGTGACTGGTGCGGTGGAGAGCTTTGGCAGTCAGGGGAGGGAGAGGAGTCAAAAGGCCCCTGGGGGGAGGTAGAGTCATGCAGAGGGAGCAAGGGGGCGTGAGTGCTGGGGAACAAGTACCTTGCTGCAAAGTGTGTGCCTGCCTGAACACGTGTGTGTGCGTGCACAAGGGCACGGGTGTGTGAACACACATCTGAGTGTGAGCCTAAGTGTGAAAGCGTGAGAATGTGGCCACACACATTTCTTTGAGAGCGTGCATGACTGTGTAGGCATGTCTACGAGTGTGACTGTGGGTAGAGCTGTGTTTTGAGTCAGTACCAATCCGCGTAACTGAGTGTCTGGTTGTATGCACACACGTGTGATTGTGTGAATGTCTGAATGCACGCCTAAGTGTGCGACTGTGTGTGGCTGTGAGTACAAGTGGGTAAAGTGTAGCAATAAGTGGGTGTGTGAATGTGGGTGTATGGGCGTTTGAGTGCACACACCCATGCGTGTGTATGACTGTGTGAGACCAAGTGTGACTATGCCTGGGAGTGTGACGGTGTGGATGTGAGTGTGAATGAGTAGACATGCATCTTTCAGCATGTGTCTGTGTGTACGCACCACACGCAGCCTCGTGCAAGTGTGTGAGTATACATACACCTGTGGGCACACAGCACATGCAGTGCGCAAGGGGGTGTGAGCGCCCGGGGGTGTGAGCGCCCGGGGGTGTGAGCGCCCGGGGGTGTGAGCGCCCGGGGGCGTGCCTGTGTGTGAGCGCCCGGGGGCGTGCCTGTGTGCGCACGCCCAGCATGCACGTGTCTGAGAGCGCATGCGCGTACACAGGGTGCAGCGTAAGCGCTGGAACGCGTGTGCGCCTGCGTGGTACACACCGCACGGGTGTCTGTGTGCGCGTGCGCCGCGGGCAGCGCGCCGGGAGCCGGTACCTTCGCAGGTCTCCGTGTCCTGGCGGAAGCCGAAGCCCTGGGCGCAGGAGCAGCTGTAGCTGCCGGGGCTGTTCCGGCACCAGCCGTTGCCACACAGGAGGCTGTTGCGAGCGCACTCGTCCACGTCTACAAGGCGGGGGTGGGAGAGCACGGTGAGGGGTGTGGCGGGGGGGGGGGGCGGCTCCGCCCCTGCCCGCGTCCCGAGGGGCGCGCTCACCCACGCACTCCTTGCCGGCCGCGCCCGCCTCGTAGCCCGGGCTGCAGACACAGCGGTAGCTGCCGCGCAGGTTCTCACACGCGCCGTGGGTGCAGACGTCGGGGTCCAGGGCGCACTCGTTGATGTCTGCGGCAGGAAGAGGGCGGAGCAGCTGCCGGGCTCACAAGAGTCTCCAGAAACCAGCGCCCCCCCCCCAAACTGGGACCAGAGCCGGACCCCATTTCCCTCTAAACCCGCAGTTTCCCGGCGCTGTGGACCTTTGGGGCCATTCTTTGCTGTGGGCTCCGTCCTGTGCACTGTAGGACGCTGACCAGCCTCCCTGGCCTCTACCCATCCAATGCCAATGGTACCGTTCCCAGTATTTCTCCAGACATTGCCAAATGTACGGGGGCGGGGGGAGGGGGGTGCGGCGGGGGGCGGGACTGTCCTCAGTTTGGAACCCATGGAATGAAAATTTGTACAGCAGCAACATAATAAAAATAAAAGCAATCCTACCTGCTAACATTACAGAGTGCTTACTCTTTGGTGCATATGAACTCATCTGACCCGCATGACACCCCTGAAACAGGTCCTATTACTATCCCCACTTCGCAGACAAGGAAACCGAAGCAGAAAGGGTGAGTAACTTGCCCCAGGTTATTCAATCGGTCAATAGAAGGGCCAGGATTGGAACCCAGGCATCTGGCTCCAGGACCTGTGACTTTAACTGGATGAGGGCATGGTGGTCCGGACATCTGTCCTCCCCTGATGGCCCAGCAGTCAGTGGGAAAACAACGGTAACCTACGTCCTTTTGTTTGTGTGTGTGTTGAGCCAACAGATGAGGAGACACACACCTGGGGAATTTCCTTCCCTTGCAAGTTTCAACTCTACAGATCAGGCACTTGGGGCTGAGACCTGCTGGCCACAGGAGATCAGCCAGGGATCCCAGGGGAGGGACTGTCCAGTTGTGGGAGGGACTGGAAGAATTGCAGAGGTTGCAGAATGAGTGGGGCCAAAAACACAGCTCAGGAGGGAAATGAGGCGTGGGAAAAAGCACGGCTTCACACATCCACCATCTCCAGCTCTATGGGTTGAATTGTGTCCTCCCCACATTCATATGTTAAAGTCCTAACCCCCAGGACCTCAGCACCTGGCCTCATGTGGAGATTGGGTCTCTACAGAGGTAATCCCGTGAAAACGAGGTCATGAGGGTAGACTCCCAATCCATTCCAATATGATGGTTGTCTACTTATGAAAGGGGGAAATTTGGACATACATACAGGGAGAGCCCCATGTAAAGATGGAGGCAGAAATTGGGGGGATACTTCTACAAGCCAAGGAACACCGAAGATTGTCATTGACCACAGGAAACTGGAAGAGAAGCACGGAGGGGCTCCTCCTGGCTTCAGAAGGAACCAACCCTGCCTACACCTTGATCTCAGACTTTGAGCCTCCAGAGCTGCGGGAGAATACATTTCTGTTGCTGAAGCCCCCAGCCTGTGGTACTTGGCTACAGCAGCCGCAGCGAACTGACACAGTGCCCCCCAGCCCTCTCCTGACCCCCGCTGCCACGCACCTCTACCGTCGGTGGTGATGCCCAGACCGCTACTGCACAGAACCTGGAACTCGGCTGGCGGGGGGGGGGAGCAGGGACAGGGAAAAGAGGGGTCAGTGGTCATTGCTGAGCCTCAGCCACTCCCAAGGACGTGGCCCCTTGGTGTTGTGCAAGAGTCTGGGACCAAGATGCCTCCCCCCATGGAGAGAGCAATTTTCTGTGGTCTCTTCTTGGGGAGAGTCACCAGCGGCGAGATGCCCCCCACAAACCCATGGGGGCCAAGACCTCTGTCCCTTCCCACCCCCAGGGTGATGAACTGGAAGGTGTACAGGGACGAAAAAGGCAGGCAGGGTCAGGCAGCAGGACGCTCACCAGAGTTCTTGGCGGGACACGGCTGGCAGGGCTCCCCAAATCCGTGGTCTGGGCTAGCGCAGCAGCACTCGGATTTGGTGACCGCACCAGGGAAGGGGCGGGCGCAGGAGCCCTGCTCCAGGGCTCCATAGCAGGTGGTGCGCACATGGGTGTCCACGCACACGCGGCCGTCCGCGCCCACGGCCAGCCCCCCCAGGCAGTGGCAGCGAAAGGAGCCCTCGGTGTTGGTGCAGTGGCCGTTCATGCAGATGCCCGGAGTCTGGCACTCATCGATGTCTATGGGGGTGGGGGGGCCACAGGGGGCTCTGCAACAGGTCCCAGTGCCCGCCCACCCCCACCTGCTCCTCCCCCAGCCTCTCCCCTCCCTGCCCATCACCATCACTTCCATCCCAGCCCGTCCTATCCAGCCCTTGGCCTCACCCACGCAGTAGCGGCCACCGGGTGCCAGCAGGAAGCCGGATTTGCAGAGACACGTGAAGCTGCCGTCCTCATTGATGCACACTCCATTGGCGCACATGGTGGTGGTGGCACACTCGTTGTGATCTAGAGACACCGGGGAGGTGGGATCCCATCCCGGCCCCTCGCTGGCCCAGCCCTGCCTACAGACCACCCCTCCCGCTCGCTTATATGCAGCGCAGCAGAGCAAGGGCTGAGCGCCCAGGACCCCACCCAGGGGCTCGGGGGCCCGACCGGGCAGCGCATGGCTTGTCTGTGATTCTGTCTGCCTGGATATCAGTCTGTCTGCTGGAACGTGAGCTCCCCTGGGGCACGACAGGGCTGCCTGCTCAGTCTGCATCTTCCTCCTGGCACAGGTAAGTGCTCCATAAATATTTGTTCAAAGTTAAATGAATGAGATGGTGGTTGCACGGCACTGGGCGTATACCAAACGCCGCTGAAATGTTCGCTTCTAAATGATTAAATTTATCTGGTGTGAGTCTCACCTCAATTTAAAACAAAGAAAAGGGGAAAACAGCTGACGAGAACATAGTCTAATTGAAAGAAAGTGGTAGGTGCAGAAACAAGTACGAAAGTATCACTTTTGCACAAAAAGGACTGCACCAGAAAAGGAAAAAGAAAGGAATGAATGAAAGATGCACCCAAGAATCTGTACATGAATGTCTACGGCAGTATTTTTTTCCATAGTTGCGAAAAGTGGAAACAGCCCAGATGTCCATCGCTGAGGAGTGAAGAAACAAGATGTGGCCCTCCACCTACACATGGGCACGTCACTTGGCCACCAACAGGGGCGAGGCGCCAACACACGCTGCCCCGCGGAAGACCCGGAACCCCCCCGGGAGCCAGAGGCCGGCACCCCCCCAAGGTCCCAATCCCACACTCTCAGCTAGACTTGCTGCCACGCAACAGGTCCGAGGACGTGCTTCGGTCCGGGGTCAGACAGCCCTTGCTGGGATTCATGGAATGAACTCCGGAGGGAGGGAGGGAATGAAGGAGTCGGGGCAACAAAGCGCAAGAAGGACCTCGGGCAGGTTGGGTGGGTTCAGCAGGGCGAGCAGCGGCTCCATCTTCGGGAGAGCGTGGGTGACGCGGCAGAGGAGACGGGCACGGTGGCCCTCGCGGGAGCCCCCGGAGCCCCCAGGCCCCCCACCCGCCCGCCCATCCCCAACTCACCCACACAGTTCTTGCCGCCGGGGCCCAGCTCGAAGCCCGCGTTGCAGACACACCGGAAGCTGCCCTCCGTGTTGACGCAGCGGCCGTGGTGGCAGAGGCTGCTGGCGCATTCGTCCACGTCTGCGGGCAGAGGACCCTGAGCCCCCGCCCACCCGGCAGGTAGGCCCCGCCCGCCGGCAGGTAGGCCCCGCCCACCCAGCCCCGACTCACCGATGCACTCCCCTCGAACATCCTGCGTGTAGCCCGCGTTACACTCGCAGCGGTAGCTAGAGGGGGTGGGCAGGCAGCGGCCGTTGAGACACAGATTGGTGAAGTGTCGGCAGATGTCGATGGTCTGGTTCAAGGTGGCTGTGCCTGAGGGCGGGGTCAATAGGTGCACCTGAGCGGAGGCCTTTCCTCTGGGCTGGGACTCCCACTCTGAGGCTGGAACCCTGCGCACGTCGGCCTGGCGTGGTGCCCTAACTGCAGACCCGCACACTGGCTGAGACCCCTACCCAAGGCCCAAACCCTGACTTTGAGACCCAGATCCCAAATCTAGCCCCACCCCCAGACCACTGTCAGTACTTTCCTCTCTATTGCCCAGGCCAAGACCCCCACTCCCCAAAGCCCTGACCCTCCCTCTGAGGCCTGGACCCCCTCCCCCAAGTCTTGGATCCCTCCTCCCAAGTCCCAGGCCTCACCAATGTGGGCATTGCCAAGGCCCAGGCTGGGAACGCCACGCCCACTGGAGCCATGGGGGCTGTGCCGCGCCGGCCCAAGGCCAGGACCCACACCTGGGCCAGGACCCACACCGTTGGACCCAAAGCCAGGGAGACCAGGGAAGGGGCCAGGGTAGGAGGGCAGCAGCGGGAGCCCCTGCACACACAGTCGCTGGAACTCATCTGCAAAGAAGCAGGGTTTGAGGCCAGGCCCTCTGTCATGCCCCAGGGCCCCTCCTCTGCAGGGAGCTCTGGGGGCAGAGGAGGGGGGGACAACCTCAGGCCACTCACCAGAGCCCCGCAGAGGACACGGCTCAGGGGCTGGGCCAGGTGCCCAGCACCTGCCCCTGTCACAGCAGCACCGTCTCTGAGTATAATGGCCGGCGAGGTCTCCAGCACAGCGGCCCACGATCAGTACAGAGAAGCAGGTGCCGGCCCGGTGGTCTGCGATGGGGAGGGGTCGGATCAGTTACCAGACCTGGGTTCAAATCCCAGCTCCACCAACACTGCCGGCAGGACAGGACTCCTTGCCGCCCTGTGCCTCGGTTTCCCCATCCCTGGAATGGGCGTGCTCAGAGCATTCACCTCCCCTCGGAAGAATGTTGCCAAGATAAAAAAGTGAAGCACACTGTATCGGGCACATGGCCGATTCTCACTGAATGAGAATCTTATTATGAAGATTTCCAAATTATCCCAGGGAGATGGATTTGGGCTCATTCCAAGCAAAAGCCTTCCAACTCCTACAGCGGACATTGGTAGTAAGCTCCCTGTCACTCCGGGCATTCAACCACACTGAGGAACTCCTTGGTTTGGGGGGCTGCCCTGGTGGGAGGTCAGGCTGGACGCTCAAGCGAGGACACCAGGATCTGTGTCTATGTGCCCCCACCTGCCAGCCCTGGGCATTTGGGGAAACCTACGATGCTATGAATTTGAGGAGGGGCCCAAGGAGCAGACTGCTGGATTGATGACTACAGCCCCGGGGGAACTGAGACAGAGGCTCCCCAGCCAGGAGAACCATGGACACCCTTCCCCATCCCACTCTGCTCTGGAGTCTAACAGCTTTATGCGGTGATGAGATCTCTCAGGCTCAAAGAGTGTATTTATAGCTTAAAAACGCACAAATCTTGGCCTGTGGCCCACAGTGAAACCTCTTCCACCAGCTGGGAGGGCCCCTGACAGCAGCCCCTGCCCTGCCCTGCCCCAGGCTGAGAAAACACGAAAATATTTCTCTTTTTTTGAAAGAGAGAGAGAGAGAGACCACCAGCACGCGCACAAGCAAGGGGAGGGGCAGAGGGAGAGAGAGAATCCCAAGTATGCTAACACAACTCAGCATGGAGCCTGCTCAGGGTTTGATCTCACGACCCTGAGACCACCACCCAAGTCGAAATCAAGAGTAGGACGCTCAACCGAGCCACCCAGGTGCCCCAACACACAAATGTTTCTACCTCCCCTGCCCCAACCCATGGGGACCCCCAGGCGCACGTGTGGGAGTTGGGGCTCTGTACTCCCAGCACCATCCCAGGCCCTTGACAGGGGCAAGGCCTGCCCAGATGAGGGGAGGTCAACAGATTCATTCAAGGTCACACAGCTACTAAAGAGGGAGAGGGAACAGGAACGCCGATACCCGAACCCCAGGGCATCTGACCAAGCAGCTGCCTCTCAAGTAGGGAAGACAGAGACAGAATGTAAGAACTTTAACAGAAATGATGCTGCCTTTGCTTAGAAAGCACCAGCTGTGATCAGGCCCTGCACCGTGCCCCAACTGCACCGTTCTCTTGTCTTTGTGAACGGGTGTTGAGTATCAGCTACATCCAGCCCCCGGCATATCATTCCAAAATTGTTTTTAATCCTCTCCACGACTCCAAGAGGGAGGTGTTGCCATGATCCCCACCTTACAGATGAGGAAGTTGGGGCACAGAGAGGTTAAGACACTTGGCCAAGGTCACAGAGTTTGTGAGCAGCTCAGGGAGCAGCTGGAACCCAGGATTGCATCCCAAGCCCATGTTCAGGGGCAACCTGACCTTGGTTCAAATCTAGGCTCCACTGTTTCGTAGCCGGGAGGGGACCCTTACTCCAGGGGACTTGCCCAGAGGTCCCCTGGAATAAGGGGGGACTTGCTTCCATGCTGACCATGACGGCCCCCAGGGGTGGAGGAATAGAAGGTCTAGCATTGGCCACAGCACACTAGCAGAAGTCCGAACACAATATTCCCAGCCCTGCCTGGTAGAGGCCCAGCCAGAGGGGCCCTGGTGATGCTGGGGAACTGCCAAGCCCCTTCCCTCCTCCCCAGACCAGGACTCTGCCCATCCCCCACCACAAGTGTCCATATTCCTGGCTTGCCCCGTTAGCCACTGGCGATGGCTTAAGTCTACTGACGAGGTTCATCAAAACAGCAGGACAGGGAGTGAGAGCCCAGGGTCCCCTGCCCGTGGGGTGGGGTGTGGGGGATTACAGGAGGGTGGGCATCCAGGGGGAGGCATGGCCCAGAGGACCTCATCCTGGCTGGGGGGTCTGGGTAGGGCATGGGTATAGGCATGTATCTGTTCTGAACTTATTGAGTTGCCTCAAGCAAACCTCCCCTCTCTGGGCCTCAGTTTCCCTAGCTCAAAACAGAGGATGTTGGGCGGGGAGATGGGGTCGCCTAGAAAATGTCTGGAGAGGGCTCCTGGGTGGCTCAGTCAGTTAAGCATCAGACTCTTGGTTTTGGCTCAGGTCATGATCTCAGGGTTGTGAGATGGAGCCCCCTCCACCTCAGGCTCACACTCAGGGGGGAGTCTGCTTCTCTCCGTCTCCCTCTGCCCCACCTCCGGCTAGCATGCGCTCTCTCTCGAATAAATAAAAAAATAAATCTTAAAAAAAAAAAAAGTGTCTGGGAGTAGAACGAGGAATATAGACAAGGAGTCAGAAAAACCAATGGGCAGAAGAAGGACACAGGCATGGAGGCTGGAGGGTCAGGGGGGCAGAGAGGCAGGGGGCCAGAGGGGCTTGCAGACTGGGGTCCAGAGAGCACAAAGCCTGATGGGTAGGGAGCCAGAATGCCAGAGGGGATGGAGACCATGCTCCAGAGACCTGACAACAGAAAGACACAGAGACCCGAGAGCTAGACGAGCCCACAGGCCAGAGGGTTGCAAAGATGGATGAGCAAGGAGCCTGTCTCCTAACCGCCCTCTGTCCCTCCAGCCCCCTCAGGCCCCAGCTCACCCAGGCAGCGGGAGCCGTCCAGGCTGCTGGCAAACCCACGGGGACAGGTGCACACAAAGCTCCCGAGGGTGTTGGTGCAGTCGCCCCCAGAGCAGAGGCCCGGCATGCTGAGACACTCATCCACATCTGCGTAGACGGATGCCCGGTCAGAAGTGGGTCTGCCACCAGCCCTACCCCTCCTCTTCCTCCTCCTTGCCGGGGGAGCCTGAGCTGCCCAGAGCGCAGAGCACAGAGGCGGTCCCTCCTCGCCAGCCTCCCCACCACCCACCTTCACACTTGGCGCTGTTCTCCCTGAGCCGGTGTCCCGTCCGGCAGCGGCACTCGAAGGAGCCCACAGTGTTGATGCAGCGGCCCCCCTGGCACAAGCCTGGCACCGCCTGGCACTCATCCACATCTGCAAGGGGATGACAGGCCTATCAGAGGGAAGAACCAAGACCGCAAGGGCTCCCACTCAGCCCTGGCTCCCAGCGTCTTCGTCCCCGCTCGCTGACTCCCTTACCTTGGCAGGCCCCTGTGCGGATATTGGGGATGAAGCCTCGGCGGCAGGGGTGCGGTTGTGCGGGGCAGAGCTCGCACGGGAGGCCCCAGGCACGGCCCACGGTAGCACAGCAGAGAGCCTTAGTGCACACGAGGCCCGTGAGCTGGTGCTGGCAGCCCTCAGCGCCGACTTGGCCAAAGCAGGGGCCCGTCCGGTAGTCTGGGAGGCAGATGGGTTTGGGCAGCTGGCCCCAAGCTGCCTCCGCACCCCAGAGCCTTCTGCTTCTCCATCCCCGCAGCCCGCAGCCTCCTTCCCAGCCTCCCTAATACCAACACAGCTGCCTTCACACTGTTGCCCATCCCCATGGGACAAACTCCCATTCAGCCTTCAAAACCCCTTCCTCCCCAAAGCGCTCTCCAACCAACCTCCAAAAAAGGGCCAGGACCTCCACGCTCACAAAGCGCCGGGCACATCGGGAGAATCCGGCCACTCCCCCCAGGCCCACCCTCCCATCAGGTCTGGGCAGAGACCACAGATACCCAGCAGGAGCGCCTGTCTCATCCGTGAGCGTGTGTCTGGCCCCGACAAATCTCCCAGACTCAAGGAGGGACCCAGCATCGGCCCGAAGGCTCTGGACCCACAACACTACACCCCTGAACCCTGACCCCAGCCAAAGGGGGTCTCATTAGTGCCCCCATCTCTGTACACAGGCTCAGATGTGGCTTCCTGGCTCCATCCTCCAGATGGTTCCAATCAAGGGGCTGGCAATGGACCAAGGGAAGCCCCTCCCAGAAGGAGAAGCCAAAGCCAGCCCCCTAGACCCGTGTGGAGTTGCCTCACAGAAATCCACAGTGGTCCTGACTCCCTTAAGCCAAAACAATTCCAGAATCTCATCTAATTCACCCAGAACTCTGGAATCCCCCTCGCTCCCGCCTCTCTGGGGGCCCTCACCAGCCACCACCCACTCAGGCCTCCCCCTCTCACCCTCCCCACTGACCCTCCCTCCCCCTCGGCCACCCCAAGCTGTTCCCGAGCTGTTCCCCTTCGGGTCAGCCCAAATTCCTAAAAGCAACCCCCCTCGTGCCGAGGTAACCCTTCCAGTCCCAGCTTCTGACTCATTGCTACACCCTCTCTGCCCCGGCTTCAGCCACAGATGGGCCTCCTCCCCCAGCAGCACCTCCCAACGCCGGGGTCATCCCAGACCCTGCCCACCTCCGCCGGCCTGGACTCCCGGGCCACACGGGGCAGTCCGACAGCTCTCACAGTCGAAACCCCACCAGCCTCACCGCCTGGGCATGCCCCACACCGCCCGCTCTGGTTGGCTTTCTCCTTCCCAGCTTCCCGTGGGCTCCGTGCGTTCTCTGCACCCTGAGTCCGCCCTCCCTCATCCGCTCAGCTTTGGGCCCACACGTGGGGCAGCCCGGGGCCTGGGTGCCCAGCTGCTTCCAACTCCTCCGCATCAACTTTCCATAAAACACTGTTGCTTCGTCATCTAAGGTTTGGCCAAAGGCTCCCAACAGGTGACCACACCCACCTCAGCCATGGGAGTCTTCTGACTGTGAGGGGTTGCAATAAAAGGGGGCTTGCTCCTCTCATGAACTCTGACCTAGCACTTCCTCCAGGAAGCCCTCCCTGATGCCCTTCCCCAGAGCAACAGTTTCTCTGCCCTTCACAGCATCAGAGACAGTAGCAAGGAGGCCAGCTGGAGCTTCCCAGGGCCTGGCTACATCTCAGGGGCTGCCAGGAAGCCCCCCTCCACCCACCCAGGCCCCTACCCCAAGCCCAGCTCGGTACCTCTCTCACACTGAGGCCCCATGAAGCCGTACACACAGGCGCAGTGGTTGGGTCCGATGCAGCGGCCCCCGTTGTGGCAACCACGGTCGCAGACAGCTGCGGAGGGCCAGGGGAGGCCGGCCTGAGCTCCCCCAGCAGCAGAGGGAGCTGGGGCCCAGAAAAGCCCATTTTCACCCAGGAATCCCCACCATCGGGCCCAGACCCAATGATAAGACTGTGACGGTGAGTACGTCCCTCCAAACCCTGGTCCCAGAAGAGTGACCCGTGGGTGCTGGGCAGGTGGCAGCAGAGACCGCCCTCCGGGATCCCGGGCCCCGGTGTCCACGGGGATACTCACGCTGCCCACACACAGTGCCTGTGTAGCCCCTCTGGCACAGGCAGGACTCCCCTCGGCAGCTGCCCCCATTCATGCAGCTCACGCTGCACCCCGACCCTAAGGACGGGGAGGAGGGACACCCGGTAAAGTGACGACAAGCGCCACGAGGCGCGTGAACAGTGGCAGGACTAGGCTTGCGTGGCCCAGCTCGGGTCCCTTCAGTCCTGCGCCAAAACCAGCCTGCGCCCCCAGTGGCATCCGGACGCCTCTAACCTTCTCCCCCGGCCCCCCGCTCACCTCGGCTCACCCCACAGCTGGGGGCCAGCTGCCCATCAGCACAGGCACAAAGGTTGGGTCGGGAGCAGAAGCCCTCGCCGCAGGCGTGCCTACAGACGGCTGGCAGGGGCAGAGCGGGTGACAGTCAGGGCCAGGACCTGAGTCCTGCGCCCTCCCCACCCCATCAGTGCCCAGGCAAGGCTCTGGGTTTCTGCTGGAGCCATCGGGAGACGGGTCTTTGGGCCAGAAATGCCGAGCAGCCAGGACAGAAGCTGGAGATGCTGGGTCGGTGACTGTGGTGTTGGGCCGGAGGGCTCTCCTGGGAGGGGAGCCAGATTCGAGAACCCCGAGGTGGCGGGTACAGACTGGCAGAGAGATACAGACAGAGATGGGGAGAGACAGAGACTGAGAGAGAGAGAGACAGGCAGGCAGAGAGACTTCAAAGGGCTTGAAGTAGGAGGAACAACAGTAGAACGGGTGTTTGGAGTGTGGAAAGGCTCGCAGGAGCCTGGGAGGAAGCATGCAGGTCAGGAGGCTGGCTGAGAGGGGAGAGGACAGAATTCCAGGGATAATGAGGGCACTCCCTCCACCCAGCAGGTAAGGCAATGGACATGAACATGGCAGGTGGCCTGGGAGCCTCAGGACAGGCAAGGGCCAATCCTGTGGTTCAGCCTGATGCCCCTGGCAGGGCTGGGCTTGCCAGCAGGTCAGAGAGCTGCCCCGGCGTCCCCTGCCTGAGCCCCCCCACTTCCAGGTGGCAGTGGCACTCACGAACGACACACTGGTTCCCGCCTGGCAACGTCCTCCAGCCGGGACAGCAGTAGGTGTGGAAACGGGAGCCGCACACATTGGGCCTTCGGGAGAGCATGGCACAGCTGGTGAGCCCCCGTCCTGCGAGATGTTCCCTGGGCCTCGCTCCCCCCACCCAGCAGGACAGCCCAGCCCAGCCCTGCCCACACCCCAGGGCCTCTCCGCATGCCTGGTACCACGCACCCCTGCAAGATGCCGGGGCTGCCACGCCTGTGCACACGTCCGGGGCCTGCAGACTCCAAGGCCCTGTCCCAACGGCCCTGGACTCCCACCACGCACAACAGGGCCGTCCAGGCCAGCAGGAGTCGAGCCAGGGGGCCCCAGGCCATGGTGAAAGCACCAGCCCCTCTCTTTGCCAAGCACAGACCCTTCAGAACCATGATGTGTCCCTCAGAGACTGCAGAGAGGAAGCAGAGTCAACCCCAGCAGAAGCCCTTGGCCACGGACTACCCAGAACCAGGAGCGCCGGGGGGATGGTTTCGGGGCTGGGGGAAACGGGGTGGGGGGGAAGGGCCTAGGCAGAGGGAGGGAGGGGAAGAAGGTGGGGGTGCCCCCCCACCAGGAGGCAGCTGGTTCTCTCCCAGACCTGAAGGATGGGAGGGAGGAGATGGAGACAGAGACACTCCTGGTGTAGGAGATGACCAGGTGAAGGGGAGGAGGAAGGAAGCTGAGTATTTGGAGGAGAGAAGGTAGAATAAATGGCCTGAGACAGCCCAGGGAGGTGGGGTGGGGGGGCTACTGGAGCCCAGGGAGGCATCCAGCCCTGACCCAGAAGCAGGCGAACAATCAGAGCAGGCTTCTTGGAGGAGGTGTGATGTCTTAGAGATGGAGTTAGCCAAGAGAAGCGTGCTGGGGCAGAGTGCACAGTGAACGCAGAGGGAGAGGACAGGCAGGGCCGGTGTCTCAGGAGTGCACTGTGTAGTGGAGCTTCTACTTGTAGATCTAGGGGATGGAGAGCCCTTAAAGGGCTTGAAGTAGGAGGAACAACAGTAGAATGGGTGTTTGGAGTGTGGAAAGGCTCGCAGGAGCCCGGGAGAAAGCATGCAGGTCAGGAGGCTGGCTGAGAGGGGAGAGGACAGAATTCCAGGGATAATGAGGAGGTGGAGTCACCAGGAGTTGGAGGCTGGTTCCAAAGGAGGCAGGAGGCATTGAGGAGACTCCCAGAATTCTGGCTGGGATGGGATGGGTGGGGAGAGGGCAGAGGGGGATGGGATGGGTGGGGAGATAGGTGGCAGGTGCACATTCTAGGTGGGGCACTCCCTCCACCCAGCAGGGAAGGGATAGCTTTTGTGCCCATTTCTCGGATAAGCAAACTAAGGCCATCACACAGTTAGTGAGGGGCTGGCGGTGGGTGAGTGCTGAAGCCTAGGTAGAAGGGAGGGAGGGGAAGAAGGTGGGGGTGCCCCCCCACCAGGAGGCGGCTGGTTCTCTCCTGGACCTGAAGGATGGGAGGGAGGAGATGGAGACAGGGCCACTCCTGGTGTAGGAGATGACCAGGTGAAGGGGAGGAGGAGGGAAGCTGAATATTTGGAGGACAGAAGGTAGAATAAATGGCCTTGGAGAGGCGGGGGGCTTTCAGGTCCTACTTTCCAGACCAGGGAGAAGAATTGGGCCTAGGTAGGGAACGGGCAGGGAATATGCTGTGTGCCATTGGGCAGGTGGCTGCCCCTCTCTGGGCCTTGGGGTGACAGAAGAGCCTGACCAGGTGGTCCCAAGGTCCTTGGGGAAGGAAGAGACCCTTGTCAAGTTTGGCGGAGAAGAGTCGGCCTGGCTGGGGAGGGACTCCCCCTTCTTGTTTCCAAGCCGCTCCACGCCAGTCTGCGTCCCGAGGACGCCTTCTCAAGGCAGCCTCCCTCCCCGCCTCCCCCAGCCTCCGGGGCCCTGGCCTGGCCTGACCCGGCACCCCCTCCCCGCCCCGCCTCCGCGCCCCGCGCCCCGCGCCCGGGAGGTGCTCGAATGAATGAGCGGGGAAGGCGCGCGTGGCGGCGCGGGCGGGAAGCGAGCGGTCTCGGGCTCCGCGGACGAGGAGGGGGCCCGCGGGCCGCGCTCTCCACCCGGGCAGGGCCGAGGAGCGAGGTCCCCCCGGGCCGCGACCACGCTCGGCTCCGCCCTCACCTGCGGGTCGGGTCCTACCGCCGCCCGCGCCCGCGCGGATGCCGGCGCCCCAGTCCCGCGGCGAGAGGGGAGAGGGTGGGCCCGGGGCTGCGGCCGCGAACAAAGGAATCCCCTCCCCCCTCCCCCGCCCCCGCCCCGGCCTCCCCCGCCCCGCCGTCCCCGCTCGCGCCCCGCCGCGGGCCCCGCGCTTCCCCGACCTGCGAGCCGGCGCGCGTGGACGCAGGCACGGAGAGCGGACGCGGGGCTCCGCGCTGGAGGCTTGGCTCGCACCGCGCCGGGCGCCCGGGGCCGCAACGCCAACCGAGAGGCCGACCCCGCCGCGATCGCAGCCCGGAGCCGCCGCTCGGGGGGCGGGGGGGGAGAGGGGGAGAGTTGGGGGCGGGAGGAGTTGGGGGAGGGCGCGTTTACACCTCGAAGCTCCCGGGGCGGGGGCTGGGGGCTCCGATCCGGACTGGGGGAGGGGCTGGAGCTGGGGGAGGGCCCGGGCTGCGGATGAGACTCGGAGGGGTTGGAGAAACGGGAGGGGGGACACAGAGCTCAGGCCCGGGCTGAGACGCTGGACTGGGGCGGGGGGGGCCTCAGGACGCTTGGAGGAGGGAGGGGGGCTGCGGAAACCGCGTTTTCGGATAGGAATGGGGCTCCGATTTGGGGCGGCCGGGAAGAAAGCCAGGGCCGGGAGGTCCCGGGACTCACCTAGGAGGCCCTCCTCTGTCCTCTCAAGCCGCCTCCCCTTCCCTCGGGCAGAGAGAATTCCGAGAGTGACGTTGGGAACTCACCTGGCGCTAGACTAAGATCCGGAGGCCCCTAAGAAAGTAGTCAAAACATTGCGCAAAGATGCCTTCCTAGGGAGAAGGTCCACAATTTTCATCTGATTCTCCAAATGAAGAGTTTAAGAATCCAAAAGGTCTAGACTTTCTGAACCTCAGAATTTTAGCTGCCAGTTTGTACTATATACTCGAAGTGAAAATTTTTAGGTTCCACCCACCACTTCATTACCTTTAAGAACAGACACCACCAGTGACCCTTAGGGTGGGGATCAAGTCTGAGCTGTTTGTTGGACCTGAAACTTAGTTATTCCACTCAGCAAACTCCTACAAAACCCAGTTCTAAAAGCCCCTCCCCAGGGCACCTGGGTGGCTCAGTTGGTTGGGCATCTGCCTTCTGCTCAGGTCATGTTCTGGGGGTCCTGGGATTGAGCACCCCATTGAGCTCCCTGCTCAGCAGGTAGCCTGCCTCTCCCTCTCCCTTTGCCCCTCCCCTTCCTCATGCACTCTCTCTCTCTCTCTCAAATAAATACAATCTTAAAAAGTTTTTTTAATTTTTTTTTAAAGATTTTATTTATTTGACAGAGAGAGACACAGCGAGAGAGAGAACACAAGCGGGGGAGTGGGAGAGGGAGAAGCAGGCTTCCCGCAGAGCAGGGAGCCTGATGCGGGGCTCGATCCCAGGACTCTGGGATCGTGACCTGAGCCGAAGGCAGACGCTTAACGACTGAGCCACCCAGGCGCCCCTTTTTAAATTTTTTTTTAAAAAGCCCCTCCCCACTCCCAAATTGTTAGTTTACCCTATTGAATTCCCAAAGCTGTGTCGATCATGTCTCCATCACAGCACTTCTGGAATGTAATAAATAAATAGTAAAAATAATTTGAGCTAATATTTATTCAATGCTTTTATGCCAGGCTTGGTGCTAACGGTGTTATACACATTATTTCATTCAATAACTAAAAACCCTATGAGGGAGATACTCATAATCTCCCAATGTGGGTGCCAGGAGACAGACCTGGACTCCAACACTCCTGAGCTGGAGAGAGGGACTCCCGGGGTCGGGGAGCGGAGGAAAGGAGCATTCTGTTTGGCTATGGGAGGCTTGAGGGTTCAGTACAAAGGAGCAGATCAGAAAAGGGGAGGGAAGGGCAAGCAGAGGAAACAGCTCAGGCAAAGGCCAGGAGACAAGAGGGTGTGGAAAATGCAGGAATTGAATGAGGCTGGAGCTTTGGGGGAGCAGAGAAAGGGAGAAAGGGAAAGATGGAGTCTGGCCAGGTAAGCGGAGGCCAGGAACCCTCGGGAGGCTCCCCCTACCTGGTAGCGTTCCCAGGAAGGAGAATCACTCCAGAGGCTGCGCTGTGGGGGTTAGAACTGGGTCTGGGAGCAGCCAGGGATGGGGTTTCTGGGGGAGGGTGGGCCAGGGAAGGAATCCCAGGACCAACCGGAACAGCAGCGACAGGTGGGATTCTAGTGCGGGAGGACCCAGGGGCTGTCATGGATGAGCCAGCTTCTGGGCACACTTCTGTCACCCCTTCCCAGGCTCCTTTGTCGGGGCGCACCCTGGTCTACTCTTCAGCTAACAGGCGTGTCTCGCGTGGGCACGGGGATAGGCACCACGGCCCCCAGAAACAGCCCAGAACATATGCAGAAGGTGGGGAGGAGCAGTCCCCCCCCAGGAAGGCAGTGTGGCTGAAGCGTCGTCAATGGCTAAGCCCACAGGAAATCTGGTGGATCAGGCAGTGGTTCAGTTCTAGAATTCTCACCATCTGCTCTCTGGAAGCAGTAGACGAGGAATCCACAGGGTTTGGTGAGCCAGAGCTGAATGGAAATTCTCAATGACAGCAAAGAGCAAGTGCACCTTGTCATTGTGTCCCCTCCCCCCCACTACTGCCACGCCATCCTGCTTTCCAGTGGCACTCCTGCCTGGATCTTTCTGTGACCTCTACTGTCACTCCATTACATCACACTTCCTGAAGGGGCACCTAGGTTCTCACCTGCCCCCCCAGCATCCCAGCGACACTGTGGACACTGTTGTAAGGGCAGAGCACGTCACAGTCTCCCTGTCAATAGTGCAGAATCCCCAAGTCCCTATTACAAGGTCACCTGCCACCCACTGCTGTCACCCTCATTGTCACCCATCGACGGAACACTGTGCTGTTTTCTGTTTACTCTGCTGCCTGTCACATCCGTGTTGTCATCTTTACACCTTCACCTTGTTGCTGTGACAATTGTCACCAGCTAACGATTGTACCAGCACCCAGAGTGCCAGGGTTTTGAAACTGCAAGAGACAGAAATCATCCTCCACAGAAAGGGCCCTTGGTTGCACAGAGATCCCCCCGCAGAGGAGGCTGCAGCCAGCAAAATGACTCCCCAGTTGCCCACAGATCTGGTCCCACAGAGACACCTTCCATTCCCCCTCTATTCCCCGGGGCTCAGATGATGCTCAAT